TGTGTTTGTGCAGTTTTCTGTGATTAATTTTGGGATGATTTCATCCTGTCAATTCAACCCAAGATGGATGGATGACGTCGTTTCAAGTCTGTCATTTTGGTAACTGAAGACTGAAGTTTGTTGGTTTCAGCTTCTCCAGGAGGTTTTACAGCCTCACTGTTTCATAACACTATTCAGTAAAGTGTTTTTTGTTAAGAACATCCAGTTTCTACGGCTTGATTATAATCATTAAAATTTATCTTTTTTAAACTTTGAATATAACAGTTTCATAAATAAAAATGTTCCCTTGACTAGTTCGTTCAAATATGTGAAAACAATCTGCATGATGACCACACGGGGACTGCTGATGGAAAATCCAGTTGTAGACATGTAGCAACCGGTCCAATCATTTACAAATAAAACCTTCACCATACATGGATTCTGGTTGCCGTGGCTTCACCCACAGGCCTGGGAGAGATTCCTTATTATTTGTCAGTAGGACAGGCAGAGAATCCGCCAACTGTTGTTGCCACAGCTGAGTTCTGAAAACAGTTACTGTTCTCAGAGAGGTCTGGACCGTGAGACACACACACATCCCTGCCCCTCACGCTGTATCACATGATGCTGCCCTCTTTCATCTCATGGTTCACCTGCTCATACAAAATGGAAGATTCCATACCACGTGTGCCAGGTGAAGGGTGTGGCTCCTTAAATAGAGAAGGCTCCGTCTCTGTATTTTAATACGCTCCCACTCTGTTCTTTTTTTTTTACATTCATAGAAATGGAAGGATTGATTAATATGTCCTGAGTTTTGCTCGGGGTAATTGAGCAGAAGGTATTTTGACCTGATCGTGCATGTGTGAGCGTGGCTGGGAGCATCCGTGTTAAAAAGAAAAGGCCTCCTCTTTGGTTTTTAAATCCCTCCCCCTCTGTTTTTTTTTTTTTTTTACATTCATAGAAATGGAAGGATTGATTAATATGTCCTGAGTTTTGCTCGGGGTAATTGAGCAGAAGGTATTTTGACCTGATCGTGCATGTGTGAGCGTGGCTGGGAGCATCCGTGCAGCCGAGTCAAGCTCTTACCTGCAGCGTGTGGAGCTGGGGGAGCCAGACACTCCCTAATCCCCCAACATCCTGACCTTAGTAAACCTGTCTCAGCTTGTTCTGAGAAGATCTGGCAACCCACGTGTTTGCATCTCCTCACCCCTACACTGTACCAGAGTAGCACCCAGTGCCATGGGTGGGCTTAGGATTTGAGTTCCTTGGCACTGCTTAGTCTTCCTTTGTGAGCTAATGCTCTGCCTCGAACAGTCAGTGCAAATTAAAGAACAATTATCTTCAGTGCACGCTGTGACAAGTATCTCTTGTTGGTCTGAATAATAAGTGGCAAAAGCGGCACGTCTGAGGGACACACTCGATATTTTAATCATTATGTATAATTACCAGACATTCATAATTGGATATCTAATAGATTTATATCACTATTTAGTTTCACCTATTTGATGAATTAATGGAATTATTTCTGGACAAATAAATTATATATTTTTGTTGACATTTTGACCTACGGACCTTTACCACCACAATCAATCTATCTGTCAAATATAAAGCAAACATTAGCTGTTTTTTCAGTAGCTTTGCAACTAGTAGCTCAGTCATAATAAATAGTAACAGTAATAGTAGTAATAGTAATGTCATTAATCAGCCAATGGGCTAAGGGAATTGTTGTCACTTGAATTCTCGATAATTTAACACTATTTTCTTTTCTCGTTCTCTTTCTGGTCTGAGCTAACTCTTAGCTACTAATTTTATGCTTAGCAGCTATAATTCACAAATTCTCACGTTTACTTTTTTTGTTACTTAGTTTTCATACTGTGTGTTTTAAGGCTCTGTTGGATTGTCTAGTTTTCAAGTATCAACTTATATCAGCTGTCTTTACTTATTATCTGTTTTCCTCTAAACGGGACTAAATCCCTGTAGAAATCCATTTTCATGAAGTTTATTTTTCACATACTTGAGTTTGATGACAACATATATCTATTGAACATAATCCTCCAGAAATACCCCTGTATCACGTTGCCCCCTTTAAGCAACCCCCGAAAAACGCCTTCTTATAACAGTTTACTTTGATAAATCTAAATCTTGACTCTGCCCTCCTCCCCGAGCCGTGACCCAGAGATACACAGGGTATAAGTGGGGTCGGACCTGTTCATTAATTTCTCATTAGTCACCGGGGGGAAACTGTCCAACCCCACTATTAGCTCCAACAATCCCCAAGGACACCCACTCCCACCACTCTCTCCAGCTCCAGCCACACACACACACACACACACACACACACACACACAGCACCCAGTCCTGTTTCCCCAGTGATGACCTCTTCATACACACGCTCTCTTTCATTCCACTCTAAACCATGGCTACTTCTCTGGCTCCATTCAAAAGTGTCGAGCTGTAGTCTGCAGTCGGCGCAAACGTAATCGTGAGACACATTCTGGACTGTGGAATGTTTAATCACAACAAACAAATGGTGTTCACTCAGATGAATGATTAGAGCTGTGGCAGCTTTGAGAATGTGTTCCAACTTTTGGACTACTTTTTTGAGACCAACACTGATCATTTCAATAATAACAAACATTCGAAAGTTTCAACTTAACAATTCATATAAATGTTGCTTTAGGATTTGCTGGTGTATTATTATTACACCAGCAAATCCTTTTTAATAAAGTTGTAGTTAATCCTGGTTGTTGAACACTGTTGTGTGTGTCTGTGGGAGGGACGTCTCTCATTGGACAATGTCCTTTCTCTGGGATTTACCTCACATGGTTCGATCAATCAGTTTGTGTTTTTATCTTTGCCAGGTTTGCTGGTCTAAATCATTCGCAAAGGCAAAAACTGATAAGAATAGATTTTCGTGCTGTGTTTCTGAAGCAGCCTGTTGTACTTTGTAAACAAATCACTGTTATTCAGTCTGTACTGGAAATATCTATAAGAAACTTGGATACAGTGACTAAACCTGAGGACTTTGGTTGTCAAATATTGACCCAAGTCGGGTCACCTCACAGTACTCATGCAGGAATGGTTACGACAAAAACTGAGGCAAAAAAAAAAAAACAACTCATCAAGTTTTACATTTGCTGTGATTTGATTTTCAACAGGAAGTTTCCAAAGGTGAAGATGGAGGAGGGATACGAACTCGACCTCACATATATCACAGAGCGCATCATCGCCGTGTCCTTCCCGCGGGGTTGCTCCGAAGAGATTTACGCGCACAACCTGAAGGATGTCACACGAATGCTCAAGTCCAAGCACGCCGATAATTACCTGGTCAGTGAGTGGGTTTGAGTGCTGCTTGTTGTTACTTTGTCCTCAAAGTCAAAGTGCCGTAGTACTGATGTCTGAGCTCAAGTCACAGATTATTCATGTAAAATGATTGATCTCAGTTGTTTTATTTTTGTTTGTTTTTTTTTTTTCATTTTTTGTAGATTATCAACTTATCAGAGAAAAGACATGACCTTACCAGAATGAACCCTAAGGTAATTTTATTTTACCATTTTTCCCATTTAATGTCTGCTAAATATTCTCAGAATAAAAAATAGACCATCTAATTTGGTGTTTTAAAATGAACAACAAACCATCAGATTTTCTACCCAACAACAGGCCTTTTCAGGACATAGGTAAACTCTGGCGCCTTAATTAGGACACATGTAAACCATGTCGTGATGAATTAACCAGACATTTTCCAGCTGCAGTTCCATCTGTGCTCATTTGGGTTTTTCTGGCAATCTGACTGTGAGCCTGAAGAAAAGGTTTGAGAAAATGTGCAAAACAAATAAAAACATTTGCAGACATTTCCCTTCCCACTTCAAGCTCAACAAAAGCATCCAATATCTCAGTAAAAAAGTATTCACGACTCATTTCCTGTGATCAGCTCTATCTAACAACAGTGAACGCTATGATCGATGACCACTGAGAATATGACCTCTATGACCTCCGGCTTTCTGCAAAGACAAAGTATCTCATCATTGTAAATGATGTGTTTTTTAGACCCTGGACACAGGCTGGCCTGACCTTCATGCTCCACCTCTAGATAAGATCTGCACCATCTGTAAGGCCATGGAGAGCTGGCTCAACGCTGACCCTCTGCACGTGGTGGTTATACACTGCAGGGTGAGGACACATGACTTCTACACTGACCTTGGTTTCATTTGTACATATTTCTGTTCAGGAAAAATAGTCAAAATGATTGAACGAAATAGTTCTGGATGATTAAAAAGAAATAAAAACGACGACAAAACTGTGAGTGATCAAGGTGCAGTGACTCATCTCCTGTTCTCTCCTGTTTCACAGGGCGGCAAGGGTCGAATCGGCGTAGTCATCTCATCGTTCGTACATTTCACCGACGTCTCAGCCAGGTAACTGTGACACAGTTTCTTACATATTTCAGATTTTTATTGCTAAACTAATACCTTTCCTGAGGCGTGTCTGCCCACTCATGCTTACCAGAAAACGATGACAACAGCCCGCTGTGACTGTGCATTATCGTAAGAGTCATGCCACAGACCGCAAAAAGTGTCATCAGCCAACAATGGCCGATTTAGTTACCTCTCCGAACTGAGGGTCAAGGTGATTCAGAGAGCGAATCAATGAAAAGTCACCTCTTTCAAAGTGGAGGGAAAACCAAACAATTGCAGCCGTGAATCATGCGGTGTTTAATTGCACCAATCCAGTTGAAAACATGTTATTTAATGTAATGGCTTCTGGCCACAGTGTCAGTTTCATAAAAGTCAGCGGGAACTGGTTCATTATGGAGCATTAGCATCAAAAACTGTGACATGTGGCATGTGGATTTGAAGTCTGATGTTGGGCTTCTTACACAACGGTCAAGAACTCAGCCAAGTGTTGGGTTTTAACAGTTTGAAGTCTGATGTTGGGCTTCTTACAAGTGTTGGGTTTTAACAATTTTCTTGACATATTTTTATGTAGGTGATCTGTAGTTACTCATGCGCACATACCTGTTACTCTCCAGTTAAGTATAGGAAGAGACAGTAAAATATAAGGTGAAAAAAAAGCTTCTTTAAAGTGACACTTGTTATTACTTCATTATTTTACATTAAAAAATACTTAATATATTATGTATACATTTTTTTATATTCAAATTTTATTTTGTCTGAAGTTAAGTTAGTTGTTAGCTTTACCAAAGAGTGATGTATCAATTAAATAAAAATGAAACATTGTACTTTTAGGGTGATATATGCTTTATAGGAAGAAGCACAAATTAAACTGTTACTTCTTCGCACCACTTTTAAAATAATATGAAATATGCCACCTTATTTTTCGTACCTTCAATATCAAAATAAGTTCAATACTGTAAACTGTAGATAAATCATTAATTACATGAAGGAAAGGTAGGCAGCTTTAGGCCAAGGCCAACTCCTGCTTAAGCTAGTTAGTGAGAAAGAACAATAACAGGATCAGTGCTGCGTAAAGTAAAAGTTAAGAACTGCGATATTTATGTGTTTCCCTATCTTTAGTAGTATTTCAACTACTGTACTCTATAAGTACTGTATTTTATATTCAGTATTGAGTAAAAAAGTACCACAGAAAAGTACTTTTCTGTTTGCCACACTGCCCTCATCTGTAAGGTGAAAGTGAAAGACAGGAGGCCAAAAAGAGACGGGTGGAGGAAGAGATGGAAACACAATGAGGCAGATTTACAACAGAACAGATTCAGTGGGAACAGAGGGCGAGGGACAACAGGAGGAAAGGACTGCAGTGAAAAGACTGTTGGTTTTAGCTGCGTCTGAATAGGCCAGAGCTGTGCACACACTCTGGCCTCTCGGTGTCCCCCCTCCGTGTTTACCTAAGGCTTGTATTCTCTTCCTCTCTGCTGGAATCCTCTGTCTCTCCGAGCACTTTCACTCCATGTCCATTACACATGCGTATGCGCGGGTTTGTTTGTGTGACCTCAGCAATGTCTGGATTAACGCCATTGAATTATAGAGCTGCAGAGTATAATCTCCCTCCAGACGTAATGTCTTTAAGTCTTTAATGTAGCTCTCTGTCTCCCTCAAAGTGCTGATCAGGCGCTGGATCGCTTCGCCATGAGGAAATACTACGATGATAAGGTCTCAGCTCTGATGACACCCTCGCAGAAACGGTAAGTCCCAAAACACAAGCACGCCCTTCTCCGCAGCAACATGCGTCCCACCATGTGCTGTCCCCGCTGCACTGTTGTCCCACGGTTCCATTCAAACACATGCATGTCCCCGGACACACCTGATTCAATAGTGCACTCCGGCCGCTCTAGTGCTGTTTTTTGGCTCTTACGTGGAAAAGCTTTGTCATTGTTGATGATTGTAACGAGAATAAGATCCCATGGTAACCTGGTGTAACCTTAACCCTGCGTGTCACCGTGAATCACCGTCACTGACAATGATGGCTCCGGGTATGAACTGGTTTCTTTGGCTTGTTTTGTTGTCGTGTTGTGTTTATTTGAACCAAAGTGTCATCTTAGACAACAAGGACAATGACAAATGTTCTGATGTGACGTTCGTTTAAAACCACATTCAGAACTGACCTGTAGTCAGTCTTAAATTAAACATGTGAACATGTGCTAAAACTCACGTGTCAAACTGAAGTTCTTGGCTCTGATGGCTCGGTCGCTGTCGTTAGGACAATTGTTGACCGCCCCGTATGTTGATACACCTCAGCTGATCTCTGTTATTCCTACAATCTGATCAAAAGGCCCGCCCTTCTACTTTGGTAACCACTGCAAACGATTCAAAAATGAAGTGTGGTGATTGGCTAACACGTAGTAATTAGGTACAACATTATTTGAATTCTTTCTTTTGAAATAATTTCTTTCGACGTCCTTCTCAATCTGTTCTACATTTCTCTTTTTAAATATTTTCTTGTGAAATCCATTATCCACTAGTCATAAGCGTGTGTCAAAGCCTGACTCATTCTCCTGACTAAGGCAGCAGATATGTGTGTGTGTGAGGCCTGGTTCTGACCAATGCTCTGTGTTTTCCTGTCAGCTACGTTTGGATCCTGAACAGTCTTCTGAGTGGATCCATGAAGATCAACGCCTCGCCCCTGTTCCTGCACTGTGTCATCCTTCACGGGATACCAAACTTCGACGCCACAGGAGGTTAAACTCACATCATTTACCGCCACACACACACGCGGCTGCACAATTCCAAAGAAAACACAGTCGCTGCCTCCGCGACGGCATGAAAGAATCCAGACGTAACCACATCAGAGTTCAGGCAGCGAAAGAAACAGAGACTTATCTGTGTTTTATATCTCTGTCTTTTTTTTTTTCAATACACACCAGTGCGTGCTCAGACAGATAGAAGGACACAGATAACCATAGCTGCAGTGGAGGAGAACATCATTATAGTTTCTCAGTAAAGCCGTAGAAATTCACGCCCATGCTTGCTAGTAAATTGCTGTTTACGGATTTGACTGAAACAACAAGGTTTTCGTCACATCGTGGAGATGAAATCCCTCCCCTCGCACAATAAGAGCTTATCAAACCTGTGCTGTGAGAAAAACAACAGTCTGACAGTTTTTTTTCTCTCTCCTGTCCCTAGTGTGTCGGCCCTACATTAAAGTTTACCAGGGAATGCAAGCCGTGTACTCATCTGGAATCTAGTAAGAAGTGTTTCTCAACATGTGGCTCAAACATTTCAATTCAAAATCGAATAAATGTGTATTTGTAAATAGTGAATTTATTTCCTAACTCTTTCTGTCATCGTTGCTGTTTAAAGACTGGTTTCAATTCGCTGGCGTGTTGTTTTTGTTACAGTCATATTGGTCCAGGCCACAGAGACCGCGTGTGCATCACCCTGGAGCCGGCCCAGCTTCTCAAAGGGGACATCATGGTAGGGAACGAGACAAAGTAGAGACAAATAAAACAGCACTTTCTACTGATGGAAGGAATCACAACATTTGTGTATTTTCTTTCTGCAGATTAAATGTTATCACAAAAGCGATCTGACGTCTGAGCGCGAAGTTATTTTCCGGCTGCAGTTCCACACGGGAGCAGTGCAGGGCTACAACCTCATGTTTGAGAAAGAGGACATGGAGGCTGCCTGCAAAGGTAGGTCTTAAAAAACCAGCAGGTCTCAACGTGTCACCGCCACTTTACAGTAGCTCCTGTCTTGCAGGAAGCGTCTGCAGGCGCTCAGTCAATCTGGACTCAATTTACACTTGGCACTTTCAGAGCAATCATTTTGTTTTCCTAAACATGTAATGTGTGCCGGGAGAATTCTGCTCACAAACAACACCATTCATCCTTACATTTCTGAATGGCGACAGTGTTTCTCTTCACTTCTCTTCCCAGATCGCAGATTTCCAGACTACGGTAAAGTGGAGCTGGTGTTCTCCGAGGGACCGGAGAGAATACCAGGTATATGATCGATAACATTTGAAGTTTTTTTTTTATTCTACTTCATCCATTCCTTTTCCTCCCCGTGTTGTCCCGTGCTCTGTCCCTCCCCCAGTGCCTCCTGGTGAGTGGGGACGTGGAATGTTAGCGAGGGGAAATGTAGTGTGAAGTGTGTGCTGACAGAGGGGTAAAGAAACACAGCGTGTGCTGCAGCAGAGCCCTGCACCTACAAAAACACAACTGCTCCTTTTTTAAAAATGAGCCTGTCGCCTAAACTCCAGCACAGAGTTTGAAATTCACCAAAATATTAGAAAAACTGGATAGTTCTGTTTAGTTTTATCCTTTTATTCTGAATAAGCAGCAAGAAATGCATTTTTACGCCGTCACCAAAATTAAACAGCTCTCGTTTATTGTTTTTTTTTTTTAGTGCTGATTAAAATTTAATGGATTTTAAATCAAATTTTGGCATTATTTTCACTTGTTTGAACTTTTAGGAATGATGTTTCTCAATAAAAGCATTTTATTCAACTTTGCAGACAAATACAAAAAGAGCGCCATCTGTGTTCTGTTTAACTGGCTTATGGTTGCCACGTGTACCACAATAGTCATTTGGATTGAGCAAATGTTTCTGTGTTACTCTGGACACTAAATAACGTCTGGAAAAGAAATGAAAAGTTCTGAGGATGCCTCTAAAACACTTTTATAAAAAAAACACCTAAAAGTTTTTCCTTTCTCCCCTGTTGGACCAAGACCTTCAAAAACGTTTTATCACACAGTAGCTCCCATGAAATAAACCTGCATTATTCTTGTATTCCGTTGAGCAGTAACTATTCAGGGTCAGAAATAACAGCTCCAGTCAAAGCATGTATGTAAGATGAAGAAACAACGGTGAGTGGGCGGATTTGAGACAGAGTACGGAGCAATTTCTTTTTAAAGCAGCAAACGTCCAATGTCCTGCTCCAGATTTGGTCAACTGGTGAATTGCACAAACAGCTGCGAGACAAAACCACAGGAAACAACAATTTTAACCCAAAAATAAGAACAACTTTAACTCATCCAAGGGGTCACCAACTATAATAATTAAAATGAAATACAATTCTAAAAAAGTGTTTTTTTTTTTTACTTTTCTAAGCCTGATAACTTTCTATGAATCCTAGCGTAATTTAAAGGGGCAACAATGGACTTTTCCATGCAAAGATTTTCTTACAGTACAGTTCTTAAATACAACAGCCAGATAATGCTCCTACTGTAATACTTTGTTTGTCCAGGTGCTGACAGGTGGCAGAATGGTGCAGACGTCACAGTGGACTACAACATCACCGACGCTCTAACACGCTGGGACTCCTACCAGAACATCTGTGATAGTGAAGGTACTGTTGCTAATGTTGCTAAATGGCTAACACATAACCTCAGTAACGTCAGTGGTTGTCGGTTAGTGACATGGTGATGGTCGGGGCTTTTAATTCCTCTTTCACTTTTTGTTCTTTTTCTCTTCATTAAAAAAAGAAATCACTAACATCTGTGTTTTGTCTGCTTGAAAAATCAATGTCCTTGGACACTGACTCTACTTTACTACAGCACCAAACTAAACCCAACTGTTCAGACACCATTGTAAAAGTGTGAGACAGTGTAGAATTCCATAGGTTTTTATGAAGTATCTGCTCTGCTTGATATTATGGGGTGTGTTTTGTTTCTGATTCATCCAGGAGTGAGCAGTTGTTTTTAGCCGTGTTATAAATGATGGTGTAAATGCTGTGGCTGTTCTCTGTTCAGTTACGTTGCTCAGTTACTCTTATATAACACTCACATAAAGTCTGGTTTTTTATGGTAATTTCAGTGATTTTTGGCCCAATGGCATTAACACACTCGCAGTTACCACGAGATTGGTCGATGGAGTTGTTTGTAACTGTAAGTTATTACACATGAGTGGGGCATAAAGTCGCGTTTCCACAGCGTCTGCCCGCGTTTTTATTATAGCGTGGGGCAAAAAAAAAATGGAGCTCAACTTCTCCTCAGCTGTAGAAGAGTCTTATTGGTCGCAGTACGGCCGGTATGATGAGCGTTGTTATTTCTGTGTGACGGATAGGGAGGAGTGTTGTTGTATGTGGGGAATGCTGGTTTTCCGAGGAAGAGCAGCTTGTTCTCAAGAGATTTCTATTTTGTTGTTTCATTAAATGAAAAGGCTTGCTTTAACCATCCCACACACATATACACAAACACACTGTCTCGCACACACACACACTGAGCCACCCTGTCGGGGCGTCCCGTCCTCGCTGCGGTCGCTGCTCTCCACTCAACCACAGAATTCACAACAACCTCCCAGAATAGAGTGAAGTGGTGGTGACATTAAAACACAGATCCGCCCTTTCCCAGTATTCATTGAGTGCTTTTATAAGCAGCTTGATTAAAATGAGAGTTTTTTTGTCATTTGCGCCGTAAACGTCCTAACTTATCCACGCTCCATTTTATATTCACCTCTGGGAATGCAATTAAAGGGCAGCCGAGGTTCCATCAAAGCACGGCACAGACATCGGCAGAGATGCAATATCTTTTTTTTCCCCCTTTCCCTTTATTCCAGAGCATTCATGTGGGATATTTACAGTCTTGTTTTCTCATGTAAACACTAGATCTGAGAAGGAAGACTGGGAGCTTTGTTGGAATTCTACATCTACTTACCAGCAGCCCAGTGGCAGGCCCAGCTCGCCTCTGAGAGGCTGATAAAAAGGAGCAAGTTTGAAGAAAAAAACCCTTTGCCACTACAGTGCTAAAGCTGTGAAAATAGAACCTCATTTACTTCAATGGGTTTTTAATCAATCACCGGCGAGGGTGTGTGTTTATCACCGCCTGTGAATTAACAGGTGAATTTAAAAGGTTGTTTTTCCAGGAAAGTTGTTTACTTGAGTTGATGAAGGAGTGGCTCATTGATGAGCTAACACTGTGTGGCTGGTGAAGGAAAGTGAAATTACCAGGGCTTAAACTCTACCATCACTGATTGCTAATAGGTCAAATGTAAATAACTGCATAGCTACAAACATTCTAATTTAGCTGAAGGACAATGAAAAGGCATAAATCACCCAAATTTATTTTGGATAACCATAAGATCTTTGCTGGGCCAAAAGAATAAATACATTTTAAAATACAAATTATGATGGGCAATAAACTGAAAAAAAAATTAGAAAAGCTAAGCCACAAAAAACAATCACAGGGTCATTTTAAGCCCCCGAGCCAGATTGTGAACACACCTTGTATTAAACATACTTCAAACTGGGAAAATCCCTGATAATGCTTTGGCATGAGATTAATATACTGTAGTTAGTTGTTGTGTTTAGTGAAGGCAGGGCCCAAATGCAGCAAGATCAGGTGCAGAAACGTTATCTACAAGTTCAAAACTTAAATCCACTCACTGGATACAAGGACCAGGCAGGAACATGAGCGCAACAACAAAATGACCAGCACCACTAACCACACTGACCAATGACTCTACCAGGACTGAGTGCTGAAGGGAGGTTCATATACACAGGACATCAGGTGACACAAGTTAACAGGAGAGCAGAGAGACGGACAGGCCTGACAGTTAGTGTTGTCAATGTCAAACATTACATTGATTCATCATTATTGCCTTATGTAGTACTACAGTACTACAGGGAGCTGGAACCAACCCCAGCTTTAAACCACACAGCCAAACAAAATCTTGCTTTTTTAAAATTGCCATTAGAAAAAAAACCCCACACCAATGATAATCCTTTAAAACAGCAGAAATATTCAAGTGGTTTCATTGATTAATAGTTCATTTTCCTCTGCACTCATCATCACTGACATTCTATACGGTTATGAAGAGACGCCGTCTCCATATTGGATGCACATTAAACGGTTTGGGTGAAGAAAATGGCCACGATGATCATTATTACACTTTTGATTGATGATGGTAGAACTGTGTGTGTGTGTGTGTGTGTGTCTGTGTTATGGTGGTGACTAAGATGGGGGGGGCAGTTCTGGTCACACTGATCTTTGCACTGTAATTGCTGGATTATTCAGGGCTTCTATGAAACCACAGTGACCCCACATCATAACTGCTGGATTTAAACGCTTTGGGTGATTTTTCTTCAGTTTAGTTCATATTTGGTTAACCGACCGCTGGCGTCTGTTGATGTGAATGTGTCCTAATAGGTGAAACAGTTTTTGAAGCCTGTAATTAAGTGATAAATTAAGGTCCGTTTGTTACATTGAGATGTCCTACACATAGTTTAGCAGCAGTAAGTAGTAGGAAAGATTAGGAAGATGACAAGAGCAAAAGCTCTGTAACTGCTGCTTCTCATGAAAACAGCCTGGAGCTCTGGGTAGAAAAGGCCAGTTTTCTGCTTTAATTAAAAAGGGTCTCTTTTACACGGTGAAAATTCTGGCTGCAGGAATGTTGTTTTCATTCTCTACACCCCCCCCCCCACCTCCATCTCCACTCTCCACCCCCTAGTGGGGTAGTCCCCTAATGCAGGACAAGAGCTCGGGTTACCGCCGTTTTCTGACCCGCCCCTGATGTTAAGCCACGCCCCAGCTGTTTACATTCCTCTGCCCTTATTTGGAGATCTCAAGGTACCCCCCCTTCTCCTTGTGTGGAGTGCAAACACTCTCACCTTCTCCAGCAGAGAAAGAAAGCTGGGCCAACTCTATCGACTCTCTTGGTTTGACCCTGACCATTATCTGCTGCCTAAAAGCCATGTCCGTTCCAGGGTGCATGTGTGGCCTTTTCTCCTTTTCAAACTTTGCTTTACCCGTGACGGCAACTGTGATGTGTTATTTCTACCTGGCAGTTGCAGCGAAGGTAAGGAGAACTTTTGTTAAGACAGATTGGGGCTGAGGGGGATGCTGGGTCATGGAGGGGAGGAAATGAAACGTAGGGAGGATGACAGAGAATGATGGGCAGTGTTGAGGGAGAGAGAGAGGAAAAACATCTGTCCTGAGACCTTGTTACACCTTCTTGGTGGGAATGTTATCAGGGGGATTTGTTGGAAAATTCCCAGCAGAACTGACCTCCATGGAAGCCTCGGCAGAGGCCAAGTCAAGGTTCCACATGTGGTGGTGGGAGCAAGACACAGATACAGGAGCTTAGTTCAGACAGGAGAGTGGAGGGGAGGGCAGGGGGTGAGGGTCTTTTCCTGGATGGTAGTCAGATCCTGGAAAGCGACTTTGAAGCAGCAGTTTTTTTTAAAAGCTACTCACCCTCACGTATTTTGTATTTTATTTTATTATAATTGTATTTAAGAGAGTGGATTTGTCTCTGCCCTTGAGACGTGTGTCGTGTCTTTATTCATATTCTAATTATTTGACTTGTGTGATTGAAGAAGGGTTGGTTGGCCGTATGCTGAGGGTCAAGGGGCAGACAAGAGGGAGTGTGGGGCGGGGGGTGTATCACAGCAGGGTGAGGAATGCAGGGGTCAGACTCTTGAGATCCTCTGCCATCTGACTCTTGTAGTGACATTCACAGGACTTAACCCCAGCGTGTATCAGGGAGTGTTGCCGTGCCGTAGGTTTGCTCTAAATCCCTTTACTCATTTCTCCGTTGCTGACACATCTAATGTAGTGACAAGTCCTGAATTGTTGATATGTGATTCATCTCTTCCTTCCTTGGTGTGTCGATGTCCTGGTTGTGTGTAGTCTGGTGAACTGTGTTGTCTGGAATGCCTTTGTCAGTTGAAGTGCAATTGTAAGTGTTAAGCTTTTGTCAATAACAGATTGTGAATGAATGTCGGTGGTGGTGGGGTGACACGACTGTGCTTGTTAACAAGAGTCTTTCCTTTGTCTGTGGTTTCGTTGGCGTTTTCTGTTTTGTCTCTCTGCATCTCTGCCGTGTCTTTGTCTCACTGTGCACGTGTGTCCATACCAGCTGACTGTATGAAGCGCTGCATCTCTTCTATTTTGCAGCACCTCGTTTTCAAGCCCTAGCCCAGGACAAAGCAGCTAGCAAGAGGAGCCCCGGTGCAGGAGAGTCCACGCTCGGCAGAGGGGCCCGCACCACCTCCACCACCTCCAGCCCCGACCACAGTGACCACGCGCTCTCTGTTAGCAGCGACTCCGGCCTCTCCAGCACTTCCCTGTGGACTGACAGACCGACAACTGGCACCACTGGCACTGTCAGAGCCAACCAGGGTCCCAGCGAGCAGGAAAAGGTGCAGCTGAAGCGACTTCTGAGTGGTTTTGGTCTTGAGCAGCCCTCACTGGAGGAGATGGAGGATCAGGGCTCTAGAGTGAGCATCCAGCAGATAGTTCCAGCTCAGGTGCACATCAATGGAGACAATCGTCCAGGAGAGCGAGAAACGGACATTTTGGACGACGAGGTGATTACGGGTCATGATCTACACAGTGTGGACAGTCTGGGAACCTTATCGTCGTCCTGCCACAAGAGTAGTCAGAACTCCCTGCTTTCGGACGGCTTCGGAAGTCCTGGTGGAGACGAGCAGCAGAGCCAGAGCCAGGGCCAAGGCCAAGGCCAGCACCACCTACACCACCCGGCTCCATCCAGCATGGAGGAATATGAGCGACTGTATACAGAGACTGGAAGGGGCTGTCTGAGCTCCAGGAGCAACTCTGTGGCCACCTCCAATCCCAGCGGCGCTGCTGTGCCCAAACAGCACGTGTACAGACAGGGAAGCTACTCAACACAGTCATGGGTCCGGCAGCAGCAGATGGTTGCTGCCCAACAGTTCATCTACATGCCAGAAGAAGGAAGCAGTGCTGAAAGGTACATGGGGAAAACACAGGGGAACAGCTCAGCCAAGGCAGGTCTGACTGCAGAGCAGCAGAGCTGCAGCAGAGACGCGGCAACGCACAAGGAACAGACGACGATAAACAACAACAACAACAACAAGCAGGATGACGAGTTCAAGTCTCTAACCATGGACATCGACAACTCCATAGATCAGCTCAACCAGCTGATCATGGACCTGGACCCCACGTTTGTGCCAGTGCCGAGGCGCAGCAACTCCATAAAGAGGAACGGCAGCGCACGCGTCAACAGCTCAGGGGGCAAATGCTCAAACGGCATCGGCAATAGTAATGCAGCAACCCTGACAAACACACAGCAGACAGGTAAGATAGTCAGAAAGTGTCTGGGTGTATTGGTGGTGGTGGTGTGGTTTTGACCAGAGAGGTTTTTTTTGGTCTAAATCGCTGCTAAAATGTCCAAATGTTCACCTCCTGCCCTGTCTCCTGTGCTGGGTCTGGTACAGGGGCAGGAACAGCAGGGTTGTTGTCAGGTTTTCAGGTGTTGTACGGATGTTTCTGGGGATGGAGAGTGCTGTCCCGACTTGTCTGCAGAACTATCTCACTGCAGAATCACTTTGGTACATGAAGAGAGGGAGAGCAGCTGTCATCCACCTTCTTCTCTGCGCTGCCGTCTCACCGCGTTGGATCACAGAGATTGCGATCTAAAGGAAACATCTTTGTAAAATCAAAGCCTCCCCCCCTCTCCCCCTCGGTCATTGTTGTGTGAAGTATCATATATAATTTAAAAGCCACTTCTTTCATTTTAATGACAGCCCTCTTAATGGATTCTCTCATTATTACTGATTCATGTTTGGCACCTCCTCTGTTTAAGAAAAGCTCTTTTGAATTCATACCAGTGATTATTACAGTACTATGGAAATTTCTCTTCTGGTTGTTGTGCTCACTGAAGGTATGCAGCAACGTGACTCGTATCCACAGAGGATGCCAAAGTTGTTTCCCCTTCATTCGTGTTCAAACTGATCCCAGGGCCAAAGTCAAAAAGTGATCTGCACAAAAGAATTTTTCTTAGTAACTGAAGTTTGATATCTACGTTTCCCAGACTGAGGACTACACGGTGAAAGTACTAGGTTACTACAATCCACTGTCTCCGTTTGTGCCCCCTTTTCCCAGAACTTGGCTTCAACAAAACACTGTCCGCGCTGCCTCTACGCAGAGCGACAACAACTTTCATTGTGGAACTGTTTTCTTAAGTTTTACAGTTCTGCAGAGTTGGCTGCAGAACAGCCATACTTTACTTGGTGGAAAAGCATTCATTATATTTTGTGAGCTGAAATCCAGTGAGGCAGAGAAAATGCAGAGAGCAGAGCAGAGCAGAGTGTTAGTGGTGCGTGAATCGCACTGCAGCGTGTACGTGTGCTTTCACGGGGGGCACAAGATGGGGAGGCCTGAGGAATTTCCAAAAGAGGAATAAGAGAGGCTCGAGGCTATGTTTTTTTCTTTCCTTTTCCAATAGTTTACAGAGTCGTACCTGCCTGTGCATATATCAACCACGAAGGCACTGTGTTGCATGACACACTCATGAAAACACTGTTTGTTTCTGTCCTGCATGGAGTGAATATGTCCAGATGTCTTGATTCTGTCGATGCTTGTTTCTTCATTACAGACTCATAAATATGTTGTTTTACGTCACTGTTATATAAGGACTTTTTTTTCTTTTCTTCAACCATTCCATTATTTCCCTTTTGGTTCATCTTAAGGTGAAACACTGACAAAATAATTCCAAGTAACAAACACAACCTTTTTTATCACTAGCCTACAGGAAGCAACAGGTCATGCTTTTAATCGAGACTTTCATGTTCATAAGAGAAGTGAGTCATGTGTCAGAGTCGGTCACACAACGCTGGAGCAACAATGTTTAGGATTATTTTGATTACGAGTATATTGACTTAATCAAATATGAACATACTTTAAACGCAGACAGGGGAATAAAATCAATAATATAAATCAGGGACAAAGAAGCAACCATAGACTCTATATAAGAACTGGACAGAGCCATCTGTTACTGTCAGTGGTTAAGGCAGGGCCTGTTTGGCTGTTGATAGTTTAGTTTAGTTTAGAATTCCCCTAAAAAAAGACACCACCGTTTTCCACACACGCATTATTCAGATAAATTACGCAAGATTTGCTAATTGACATGACATGGCACGAAATGAGAGGAGCATTCCTTTATTTTTTAATTTGCGTTAAAGCCAGCTGAACAAATAGCAACGTCCTTTTCTTTTAAACAGACAGTAACTAGGAACGAGGAGAGAAAGAATTGTACTGTTTTGTGTAAACAAACACTGTTTGTCCAATTATTTTCCAAGTCAATGACAAACTATGTTTTTGTTGTGCTCTCTCTCTCTCTCTTTTATATTCATACATCTTAACTTAGCTAGTGAATTATTAGCTTATTCTGTATTTTCTTCTGTAATCTTTATCTGTTTTTGGCTAATCTTGGTAAACGTTAAACATTTTAATTCATAAACATTTGTCTTCAGAGTATATTTACCTTCACTAATATGTAACTGGTACTCATAGTACAAAGTACAGTATTATATACAAACACCGTCATTATAATGAGGTATTTAACATCCATTTGTCCCAGCAAAAATAACATTTGTTTTACCCTAAATAAACTTAATTTATTTAGCGCTCAGTGAATAAGGCATCAAAAAGTACACACACACACACACACACACACACACAGGCTCCTGCAGACTTACAGGCAACTGTTGAAGTAGTAAAACGCACGCATAAATAAGTATTGTAAAAAGTGACAATGTGTGTGTCGTCCATATTCAGACCCAGACCAAGGTGAGTGATTAATGATCCTTGAAAGAAACACTTTAGCACCATTAGCATTCTTTAGGACTGGGAGGTCAGGACTCACTTGGAGGGCTCAAATTAACACCCTGGTGCTGAGTGGCCACACTCTTCACAGTCATCAACATTGAACCACACACACACCAGAATTCCACAGCTGTCCCCCCAAAACATGAGTGTAGGAAGAGTCCTGGTGTTAACAGCCTGGTCTTTGTCTTCAAACACTGAGTCCATGAAAATGACATTAGTGTACCAATGCACAAAAACGTAGTCAAAATGATGGTTTAAATTTAATTTAGTTGTCTACCGTGTCACTGGTTGAAAACGTAATAATTTTACGATTGAGCGGTTGAGTCTTGAAGTCGCAGCTCGGTTGTTTTCCCTGCAGTGTTTTTATGCCCTGACCTCCTTGAACGCGGTGTTTTCTGCTGATCTGTTAACGTTTAATGACCTGTTTGCCGCTGTCTACCTGTGTGTATCCAGCTGTCCAGTCCAATGAGGGACGGGAGAGTGTCACGCGAAGTCTGAGCCGCCAAGGAAGTGATGTCACAGATCAGACGGGCTTCAGTCGTTCAGGTTGGCATGGGACAGAGGATACAAGGAGCCATGGGAAGTATTCCCCTCAGGTCAGTGCCGAAGTCTCTTATGATAATGACATTAACCTGTCTGTACAAGTACCATACCATATAATGTGGTGTTAACAATGACAATGACAAATTAGGAATTAAATAATTGTCAATTCCATTTCTATTTGTCTACTAATACTATTATAATCTGATGGTTCCATATGTTTCTCTAGAACCGTATGTTGTACAGAAGTGACAGCGCTGACTACAGAACCCACGGCCCTGACGTGGACAACAGAGCTGATGCTGAGACTGAGATACCTCCACCCACTCCTGCCTTCCCCATCAGTCCACCTACACCCTATGGTAAAAATAAGCATTTCCTGTGTCAGTGACATAACACGAGTACACAAAGGCTCCTTGTTATTGACCATGTCTCATTTTATTATGTCCTTCAGTGAAGACTATGTCAGAACTCATGCAGCTCAGACACACACCCAGCGTGCAGTCATACGGAGGCTACAGATCGGACCACGGTGAGTTTAAAATATCAATGAGCGCTCGGTCACATGGAGTTCTTATGAGTCGTCCTTGGGCTGAGGGAAGAAAGCCATCTTTCTTTGTGAACCCAGAAGCAGCATTTAAAATTAGACACAGGAGGGCCGTATAGGAAAACCATGTCCCCATATAATTACCAGTATGTATTTAAAACACAGAAATGTCATTGTGTGGTGGAGTAAAAATACAGCCGACCTCTGAGTGTATGGATGTGTCATTACCGAAGGTTAAACAATTGACCTGGGTTTTGCAGTCGTACAAAAACGATCACATGAGAAACGACTGCACTTGTGTCTTTGTGAAAGCACCATGTTTGCCCTCACGACCTTTTACTGTACGTATTTTGCAGTCAGCTGATTTAAGTAGTGACTTATGGTTTCATGAGTCTTTTTTTATGTCTGTACAGTGATGCCGTTGTCTTTTACCTGGTATTTCTTTTAAGACAAAACCATCTTTGTCCATTTTACTACAGGATAAAAAGAAAAGAAAAAAGACATCTCTTAATTACAAAAGCAGGGAGATTCCTAACTGTCTCTGCTTCTCTGGTTTGGTTTTCAGGAATTTTCATTGTGGTGTGGTTACGACCAAAAGAGAAAATAGTTTCAGACATAACACTGTTGTTCTTTGTATTAAAACTAAGCTCCCTGGTGTTTCTTGGTCTGCAAACTATTTTTTCTTTCTATCCGTGATGTTTATCCGAGGTCAAGCAGCATTTCATCGTTTTCTGTAAACTTAACTATACGTCCTGCGAGATATGTAGGTTTTTCCAGTTTTGATTTGAGTTAACAGGGTTATATTTGGCAGAGACGAGCCACATATACCGTGAAGGGCTGATCTCACCGTGAACTCTGACCTCACGACACTACTTCACCACAGACCTGTGTCTCTGTCGTCCAACATTTCCTCACTTTTCGACCAGAACACGACTCAGGAAAATATTTGTCCCTGCACACATAGGGAATACAAGGACAGGAAGGGACCAGAAGTTGTTTTTTTTTTTGGTCTTTCACAACCCCGCGGCTTTAAATGCTGAGTTGGAAACATGAGGGTTCTGAGTTGGGGTTCTCAGTGGCTCCAGAGTACGACAGATTCAAATGGGGCTTTTAAGATAATTACGGTGGAGGGCTTTTAATTTCAAGCTGCAATCAAATTTCATTTGCTGACTCCATGGCTTGTGGCCGGAGTAATTGGTAATGGGTTTAATGTGGATTGATTATGTAAGGCCATGTGGAGAGTTTTCATTGCGTTATTACTCAGATATTGATTCTTTGGCGTGTGAAAAAATCTCAGACCTCCTCACTTTTTCCATCTCTGTGACCAAATATTTCCCATTTCATGTCATCACTCTTGGGACAACTTTGTTTTCATCAAAATGAATGTGTTTAGCTTTTCATTATTTACATCTGTGTTATGAGGGAATATGAGGAATAATTGTTTTCTCTTTTTTCTTTTTGCAATCGTGCAGAATCTCGTGAATATTCAGAGATGATCGGCCACGGCGGAGGTGAAAGTTTGCCCGAATCTGCCGTCAACTGCCACAGGACACTAAGTGCCGCACACTCTGCCTCCATTGGTGGAAGTGTTCATCAGACAGACAGGTAAAAAAAACTGGACTTATATTGTTGTTGGTTTTTTTTGCTATAGTGTCACAAATAAAAGTCAATAAATCTTTTGGTACAAACGCTAAACAAGTCTTTGTTTTTCGTAGCATCATTACTGATAAACCAACACTAATCCACTGTCTTCACTTCTTAACTCAAGCTCATCCATGAACCAGTTCTGGCCGGAGCATCCTGTCCTCACCCGCCACTCCTCTCTGAGCGGCTACACCTCAAACAGACAACCACTGCAGCACTCCATGTCACTGGACTACGGCCACCACTCTCCTCCCCTGCACCACCCCCACCTGCACCCCGCTCCCAATGCCCACAGCTCTCCTCGTAGCAGCCAGCGGAGCCGCATGGCTCAGTTTGCTCTCAGTCACGGACAAAGTTTCGAGGAGCAGGAGGACTCCTGTCTGGTCTTCAGCACGGACGGTCCAAACTCTGGAAGCAGAGGCATGGACAGGGATCATTTGACGTCCATTGAAGGACAAAGTCAGTCCCAGATGCCCCAAGTGCAGCCGCCACTGCTACCAGAGAAGAAGAGGGCGTCGGATGGAGAACACTCGCTGGGGACAGCCTCCCCGGCCCTCAGTGGTTTCTCCAGTCCCCACAGTGGGAGCTCCGTCAGTATTCCCTTCCCTAATGTCTTACCTGACCTGTCCTCTCAGACACCTGGCACACCCTCGCCTCTCCCAGGTAAACAAGGGTTAAACCAGAAACTAATGGCCCAACAGAAAAATCAAGGCTGATCTTGCTAACTTCATATTTTGTCGTGTTTGTTTTATTTCATAGACGTACTAGTCAACAAACAGCTTACTGTCAAGTTTGTTCAGGACACGTCCAAATTCTGGTACAAGCCAGACATCTCCAGAGATCAAGGTAGGAATCACGGACACATTTTAATTCAGTTCAACCACAGACCTGCAGAGTGCGCTCACGATTCCATTCATTCATCTGCAGCAATTTCAGTCTTAAAAGACAAAGAACCGGGAAGCTTCATCGTCAGGGACAGCCACTCCTTCAGAGGAGCCTACGGACTGGCAATGAAAGTGGCCACCCCCCCACCATCTGTTCTACAGCAGAGCAAGAAAGGTACTACTGATGTACTTCTGTTTTTAATTGCAGCGTTTCCTAAAATAAGGTTTGCAGACCACCGGGTTGCCATTAAATAATTTGTCATTCTAAACCCATTATTTAAAAATATTTAAATAAATAAAATGTAAATATAATATAAAATGTCATGTTCTATAGAAAAAGACTGGAGAGAAGTGCAGGACAAAACTATTTTTTTTCCCACTTTCGAGCTAACCAAATTTCTGTGGCAGCCATATTTAACAACCCAGGTACTAACGTCAACGTGGGTTGTCCACATAAGCAAACAATAAATTGTATCAATAACTATAATGAGTCTATCTCCGTTTTCTCTATAAGAATGAGCTTATTATATGGATGGCAGATTAGAGTTTCTGAACCAGGTAAAGTCTATACATTTACCCTCAAAAATGAACCAAACATGTATTGAAAACGTAATTATATGTCAATACGATATGAGGGATTGGTCTGAACTGAAGTTCATGGGAATTATACATTACACAATCCCACACAAAGACATCTACAGTTACAAGTCACTGTAGTGGAACATGAGAGTCCTTTCCTGTGTGTGTGTGGGAGGGAGAGCTACTCGCTCTGTGTTTCTCTCCTGGGCATCAGTGTGATGGAGTCAAACAGACCCCTATTGCCAGTCTTAGATGTACAGCTAATGTTTCAGCCCTTCACAAAGGCTGTGCTGAGTCCATAAGCCGACTGTGATCCCAGGTCTTTCTCCTGGGAAGCTCCCTGCCCCACATAACTACTGTAAATGTCCAGGGATTGGGTTCAAAACAAGCTGCTTTGGTATGTTCATTCCTTGAGTGTCAGGTACAGGAGGGTTTTGAAAAACAAACACACACAAAAAAAACCCTGTTCTGTTTTTGTAACTCAATAATAGCCAGACAACGTGAAACCTAAACACGCTGGATTCTTCTGAAAGTACGTTTGTAAATTACACGGACTGCGCCTCCCATGTTTGTTTTTTTTTAACCTCTTCGGGACCACCACAGCGCAAAACCCATTACTTTTGATCCCCCACTCACACCTGTCCCTTTGTTTGTCCTCACCCCTCCACAGTCCAACAACACCTGTGGTGACATCATGTCACGGTCCTTCTCCCCACTTTCAGCTCAGGGCATTGTGGCTCCTTAAAAGTGTGAAATCCAACCCATCTTAAGGAGCGGGGCCTTTCTCTCAGCTTTTGTGTCTAGACATTCCTCACATAGACTCCTCCTGCTCCCTCAGAGGCTCGGCTGTTGAATCATAATCCCATTAATCTGGCAGGGATTGAATGAATGAATTTAATATGTTGTATGCAACTCTTTAAAGCTGGGAAATTACATGTTGTTCCGAGGTAAATACTTGGATTCCTTGTTGAGGTCACAGCCAGTAAAGACTGTCAAATACTTGGACGATGTAGTTTAAATGCTTCTTTCTTTGTCTCCTCTGTCCCTCTTTCTCAGGGGGAGACTTGTCCAATGAGTTAGTGCGCCACTTCCTCATCGAGTGTACACAGAAAGGAGTTCGGTTAAAGGGCTGCCCCAATGAGCCCTACTTTGGTGAGTGATGACACTGTGTTCACTGGTTATTGCATTGTCCTTGTAATAGAGACACCTGCTGGAGGGTTGGTGACACTGCATTGAAAGTGGAGCTCTATGCACAACAGTGCCCACTTGTGGAGTATGGCAACTGAGCAAACGTACTCACATCATGTACATTTGCTATTATTATTTTTACAATTAAATTCTCGTTGTAATTTTTTTCACAGGAAGTTTGACTGCACTGGTTTGTCAACACTCCATCACTCCCCTGGCCCTGCCCTGTAAACTCATCATTCCTGACAGAGGTAAACAATCATACAGTCTGCAGAGCTGAGCCGAGCTTGTGGCTATGAATGTTAATCATTTTATATAATTTAATTATTAATATTTAATCTTATATTTCCAATATTCTTGGTTAACCTTTAAACACTGTCTTTTACCTAACACCACAGGTTAAATTGTTTTCATCACCTTGTGTGTAATTCTGCCTTATAGATCCTCTTGAAGATGTCGTGGAGAATAACTCACAAACGATCACAAACTCTGCTGTTGAGCTGCTCAAACAGGGTGCAGGTAAATCGCAGTTAAACTCCACTCCCAATGTTAAGAAGCAAGGGGGTCTCTACCTGAGTGTAATTTGAATGTGTGTGTGTGTGTGTGTGTTCCTGCAGCGTGTAATGTTTGGTACCTGGGCTCAGTGGAGATGGAGTCTCTGACCGGCATCCAGGCGGTGCAGAAAGCCACCACCATGACCCTGAACACAAACCCTCCACCGACCTCTACTGTGGTCCATTTCAAAGTTTCATCCCAGGGAATCACCCTCACTGACAACCAGAGGAAGTAAGCTCTTACTGCAGTATCACTACATAGTACTACATCTGCAAAATGGCCACTTTCCACAGTAACTGTATCATCTTTTCTCGTCTTTAGGCTCTTCTTCAGGAGGCACTACAACGTCAACACAGTCATATTCTGTGCGTTAGACCCCAAAGACAGAAAGTGAGTCAAACAATGTTGGTATAAATATTAAAAGTTTGTGACACAACAGTTATTTCTACATAATGGCAATAATAAATTACAAAATAAAACGTCAACATGTTTTATTTTTCTTATTTGTATTTTTTGTCATTTCAAAAACACAGGTGGAATAAAGATGGCTGTCCTTCAGCAAAGTAAGTAAATAATCTCTGTAATAATTTAGAGACGTAAAAGTACTCATATATATAAATCTTCCTTTTTTTTAGCATGCTTCTAATGTAATTTATTTTATTATTGTAATAATATGGTGGAATTCCATCTTTTGAATACCAACCAGTATATACAGAAACATATATCTGGGGGAAAGTTTAAAAGTTTGCTATTTTATTTGGGTAAGAATTTGTTAATAAATGGGGAATTAGACTTTCAAAAACACTGATTTGAAAATATCACACTTAAAGAAGTGTTCTAAATATAAAATCTACACCTTCCCAGGATCTTTGGCTTCGTGGCCCGGAAAAGCGGCACATCCATGGACAATATTTGTCACCTATTTGCCGAGCACGACCCTGAGCAGCCTGCGAGCGCCATCGTCAACTTTGTCTCTAAAGTGATGATTGGCTCTCAGAAGACTAAGTAGAAGACTGAGGACGGCATGGACATGGGACCAACGTCAGAACTACACACGGACTGTATGGAAGACCCTGGATTTCAACTGGACGTTTTACCACATTGTGACCTTTGACCATCGACTGATTAATATGCTGCATTTTTAATAGATAAAACTTTAAACCATTACTTTATTTTAATTTTATTTCCGGTGAAATTAACTGTAAATTACCCAATTAATTAAGAAAAGGTAGAAATCATAAGAAATGTGACATTTTTTTTCTTTCTCCTACTGATGTCTTAAAAAGTGAGATATAATATTCCCTTACATCCTATTTATGTACATTTTCTTTGTCTCATATTGCATATATTTTTATGGACAAATCAAGAAACGCTGTATCGGCATGTAAGTGTTTTTTTTAAAAGTATTTAACCAAAATAAACTTCATTTAAGCTATTTTCGTGTGTAAAGTTTTACCCGGTGCACAGTTACGTCAGTGCTGCATTTGAGGAGCACGAGGCGAGGGATTAGAGAAAAAAAAGTGTGTGTAATATAAACTTGGGGACAGGTGACATCATATACAGGACTATGTTGTGTATCTATGCAATGTAAATCTTTTTTAGAAACTCTTAAGAAGTTGTTCAGTCATTTTCCTCCTCAGATGTCCGTAGCTATGACCACAAAAGCTGAAGTGTCTGCCTGTTCATGTGTGCAAAAATGAGATTAATATTTTTATGTTAATATATACATATATATATATATTGACTGTAAAAGAGGTTGACTAAAAACACATTGGTACTGCGTGTAAAGGATGAAGTGTCTCAGTGTCGGATAGACGTAAATATACACACAAGTCTGTTACATTGAAACACATGAGTGTTTTAACTGGAGGTGGAGCAGTGAGAATTGCATGAGTTAAATATTTGTCACATTCATCTATTTGGTATGTAAAAAGTACTTGCTTTGGGAGAAATATATTATTAATTTAAAACAAAAAAAGTTGTTCCTTCTCGCTTCACCGTTGAAGCTCTGTTTATATTCACACAGTTTGTGTACGGGTCTCAGATGTTGTAATCATTTATGTGACCCGTTATTTGTACCTCATATGTGTCTCATAACATACTGTGCCACTGTTTATAACATACCTGTATCTTGTGAACCATTGTATTTGTATATCGTACTGCGACGTGTTCTGTAAATAAATGACAGCAAACATTTATAATCCTAATTTTAAATATCGAGCCGTTTCTCTTTCTGGTCTGTTGTGCAGAAATTACAGGTTTAAATGAGTTACAATTTTGGTTTAATTGTCAGAACAGTCTTTGATTCATGCCTGGCTATTAACTTCATTTTGTTTTGTTTTTTATGGGTATTTTAACTTTAGACTTACACTTTAACTTAATTAAAAATGCCACACAGCAAAGTTTTTTAATTGTATATATTTACTGTAACTCCATTTTGTATTTCTTTTATTTTTATGTTTTATAATAAGCTGAATGACCGACCCTCAACATGTCAATTTGATACAGACTGTCACTGAAACTAAGAGAGTCATTGCAATTTTCAGCCAGCAGAGGACGCTACCAACACAAAAGTTTTGGACCTCTGTCTATAAAAACCCACAATGGTTCTTAGCTGCACATTTCTAAGGTTACGTCACAAACTAGCAGGACATACAATGTTCTGTACTCCTGAATGTCTCTCTCTCTCCCTCTCTCTCACACACACACACACACACACACACATCCACCAATGTCCAACGTCTCATCCGTGAAACGCAGTAAAAGAGGACTGCGCCTCCACACAAGCCAGGACTGGCCTCCCTCTCAGGAAAGGTATAAGAGGCCTGGCTCTTTCCCCTCCACTACTTTGCATCTGCAGGTGGTGAAAGTGAAGAATTCCCGGGGAGGGCAGGAAGGAAGTCAGAGCCCAGGTGTGGTAACTGCTGAAGCCCTGCAACCACCCCTCCTGTGTTATTCAGCAAAAAAATCAAAAAGAAGACGGGGAAAGTCCAGAAAAGCAAAGAGCAGCGTCAGAGCGTGTCAGCAGAGAAGCCATATTTCACACAGGTAATAACAGTGGGTGAGACAATGAGAGAGCTACAGCAGAGCATGACGCTGCAATAATTCTCCATCAGGCCAAGATTTACACGAGTCAATAGTTACCTTTAACAACCATGTTAATAACAAAGTAGGTCTGTTGAACAGGAAAGAATCAGCAGGTAACGACCTGTCATTCACATCAACCTTCCTTTATGAAGTCATCCAGGAGACTTCACCAAGTCCAACTGGAGTTGGACAACCCTGCTGTCTGTTCTGAAGTTGACCTCTGGGATCAGATATAAAATGTCTTCTAGAAAACCAAACCAACACAGTTGACTGTTTCTGCACTGCTTCATATCAGGAACCTCTTGCTCCTGAATCAGACAATGAGACAGGAAGTCTAATACAGGAAGAACAGGGAACAAAAATAATAAAGTGAAAACCATCAGTTTTCTTTAGAATGTTGACTCAGTAACAGACATGTTTAATGTTGATCAGTGAAATTAGTAAAAAAAAGGCAATGATACAAACAAAAGACTTTTGTCTCTATCATTCCTGGATAAATGCTCTCCCAGTGTGTGATTTAGTTTGGTTACCAATAATATTTATAACACTTATTCTGCTATGGTTTGCATTGTAAATAAAGACATTCACAAAAGCTGGCAGGACCCAAATGCAACACTCCAACACAGAGACCAAAATCAGGTGCAAAAGGGTTTAATCAACAACTTCAAACATTTATCAAGGCAAAACAGAAATACATGAGCACAAAGCATGGGCATAAAACATAAGGAAACACATAGCATGACCGCAACACCAACCACACAGACCAACGACCTACCTGGACTGCTAGCAGGAGGGAGGTTCATATACACAGGACACCAGGTGACAGGAGTGAGACTAATGAACCAGACACAGGTCAGTGTGATGACACTGATTAACAGGGGAGCAGGGAGACAGACAGAGATCTCAGGAAAGACTCACACTTTTAGAATTACACTGACTAAATAAACATTCTTCCACCCCAAAGGATTCTTTTTATTTTAATTCTAAACTTAAAAGTGTTAAGTTCAGTCTTAAATTTAAAACCAAATTGCAGATTTTAATTTTCAATGTTCTTACTTTGGAGAGTGTATGAACTTTTTTTTCTGTAAGTCTGTAATTCCCAAACAACAACAACAACAGCAACACGAATTAGCATCTGTAACATAATCCCTCTATTGTGCCTCCGTTCCTGACCTGCACAAATATAAAGCCTGTCACATACAGTATGTCAATCGCTGGAATCTCCATTTCCTCTGAGCTCCATAGATGTACAGCAGCAGGGCCGCTGGAGTTTCATTTAGCAGATAATGTGGAGGTGAAAGGTCGTGTTTGTGAGGCGAACAGAACACTTCTCATTCCTTGAACCCCCCCCCCAGCCCTGCTGATTTTTTACGACCACTTAATTAGAGGGGAAGAACTCATCTCTTTCCTCGGAGGCTCTACAAAGGTTTGGGAGTGAAAAATAGAAAGGGCATTCTGGGATGGCTGCACAATTTGAGGCCCCCGTGTTGGCTTTCACCAGACGATGAAACCACAACACGCACGATAAGATAAACTGAGCGTTCATTTTAGGCCACATCACAGTTCAGGTCGGGTCATAGGAGGAAAAGGAGGAAATATTAAAAGAGGTGATTTCTAATTGTTTTATTATCACAAGCAAAAACTTAGATTATCAAAAAATAAAAATGATGGCAAAAACCAGAAACCAAATAGGGTTAATGACGTAGCACTGCCTTGATGGCACTCAAGTGTGACCTACTTAGAGGAGCAGGCTTCAAAGCTGAGACAACATTCGCCCGATGACCTCCATACCACAGCCATGTTGACTTTAAAACTACATGCTACGGACAGCAGGCCAAATGCTGCCTCTGTTGGTCTGTGTTTCATCAGGGTTTAAGTGGTGGTTTGAAGATGGACCCATGATTCCCAACAGCAACACGACACAGACGATTTTAAAGATCTGAATTCCCGTAAATATGTGGAGTTTAAAAAACTTTCCCTGAGAGAGACAAAGTCAATTTATTTTAAACGCCTGTGTCAGTTGACAGATTGTTTTCAAATGAAAAATTAGAATTCTTAGTTTTCAAGAAAATTAAAAGTGTCATACGTAAAAAGGTGATGTGATCGGTTCATCGACTTATCCCATCAGTGCCTAAAATAAATTAAAAATATACATGTTAAATAAAGTTAAGTACATTTCAAACAGCAGTCTTAAGTATTCACTGTATTGTAACTTTTTTTGGTAACTTGGGTGAATGATATTCTTGTACGCTGTTCGTAACTAAACCTCAAAGTTTAAGTAATCACTGAATGTGAGTATATGGATATACAGTATATGCACAGTAAATGGACATATGGCTTCAATTAATGTGTAACAATAATAAAAGTAATTGACTCACATACTGACACCATGAACGGTAAATTAGGTTACATTAGAGTACATGCCTGAGTGAACCTGTCTGAGACAGCTATAATATTTTTACACAGTCTGTCTGTTCTCCCTGCATTTCAGCACCAAAACCACGTCTCCAAACCACAGACCACCATCACTTATACAATAAATGGAGCATTGTAGGAGCTGCAGCTGCAAAGAATATCCCCACGTCCACCAGCTGCGATTCTGCCTTTGTTTACGATGAGTAATATTGTGTCGGAGTCAGCGGGAAAAAGGATACGTGACACAGTGAGAATAAATGACACAACACCTATTGTTGTCTGTATGGGTTGTATTTAAACAGTGTGACTCCTTCTAAAACTGTAACACATGTGTGTACAGCATGTAATGACGCCTGAGTGGCATATTTACATTCCAGGCCTGCTTGTTCTTCTCCGGCCGCACCGCTGCACGGATCATCTGCCTTCACCTCATCAGGTCCCTTGTCGTTTTCACGGTTACATCAATGACCTTCACAGTATTTTTTTCGCTGCGGCCACAAATCTCTCAGAAATAATGTCATTCCCATATGAGAAATTAAACAAACACATGGTGCGAATAAATCCTTGGCAACACTTGTTTCAGGCGCATCAGCCAATAGCGTGGGACAAAAGTTCAGCTGTTTCAGAATCCATTCATCTTCTAGGGTTTTAATCCTTTTTAGGGTCGCCGTGGGAGTTAAAGCTACACTGAGCAGTCACTGCTCAGTTCAGCAGTCCATCACTGGGTCACAACAACCACTCACACACACACAAACTCCACACTGTCAGTAAGCACCTGGGATCAAACAAGTGTCTACTTGCTGTAAGGCAAGAACACCAGCCACTTCACCACCATGTGAACCCCAGTTTGCTATAAATTATAAAATCAACTCCAAAATGTTTCTTCAGATGTTTATTGGTTCCCGACCCGCTCAGATGATCCATCATAGACTTTGTGAGGATGACGTCTCGGCTCTGCACGGACGAAGTTCAATTATTTGTTTTTTTTCTCTGAGAGTTGAAAGCAGGGGTGGCCACAGAGCGATGCTCAGCCCACTGCCACTGTACATATGTAAATACACGTTCAAAGGTGTGTAAACAAGAAATTAAACAGACACAGGAAGTGATACAGGCTTTGGTGTAGGGCAAGAGGGGGTTGATTAAGGCCCCAAAGTGAGCGGCGCCACTCTCAGCCCACTTCCGTGCACTCTGCAATCCGTCAGGCTGAGTGTTGAGAGCTCCTCTAACTCCGTCCTCCACATCGCTCAGGCTTAATTACAGCCTTGGACTTGGCCTCTGGGCCTAGCCTCCAGAAACGGGGGACCGTGACAGCTCCACGAACAGACCACTCCAAAAAAATAATTAACCCACCCTGGAATCAGATGAAAGGTGGCCTTTGGCCTTTTGCCTTTTTTGTACACCATTCAGACCACATCTATTAATCGGATGATTGTCAGAGTTCTGTGTGGGTGCCATTTAGAGCAGAATCAAAGGGAGGGGATGATCAAATTAATCACAACGGAGACCTTTGCATTCAATTCATCCCTGATGAGAGCCTGTTCCAAAAGTTCTCAGACAGGGCAATTATGGCAGAGACGGTCATGAGACTATGGGGGCAAAAAGAATAACAGTGACCGTACCAGACCTGTCATGTGATCTGAGGCAGTCCAACCCTCCTCCTGAGTGAGTGTGTCTGAGCACATTTCACTCCTTACAAAAACACACACCTTCATACATTTTTATATGAAATAAAAAATGTTCCCGTTACAGACTAACTCTCTCCCACACACAGACACAGACACAGACACAGACACAGACATCCTGCAGCTGATTCATTTTCTTTCAAATGCATTTAAACCAGATATTTTGGCGTTTACAGCTGTGTTCCAAACTTTCCCTGTAACTATGGTAACCCCATCCCTGAATCTCTGTGATGGACTCGCAGACAGAGCCAGACGTGATGGCAGCGGCCAAAAGAAGCAGGACTACATTACAAAAACATACATCTGAGAGTTACTTTGTAATAAAAAGGAATGTCAGGCATGTAGTCAGACAGGAATCATGTAAACCATGTTAAATAATGTAAACTTTAAAAAAAATACAGTATATACCCCTGCTGTATGTGAACTACACACTTTAAGGTTGAACTTGACTTAAATACATGGGCAATTTCAAAGTACAACTCACTCCCTGTTCTTTCTTGGCTAGAAAACTACACTCTGCATGTCAGTGCTTTTGCATTTGGATTTTAAAAGTTTTTTTTAAAAAAGTGACCTTAACCCATGAGGTCACCTCCTGAATCCAAATACTTGTCATTTATTTGTAATATATTTATTTTTATAAGTAACTGCAAGATATTAACTTTTAGATTCCATGTTCAAATCTTGCAGCAGGAAGGCATTTGGTGTAGAAGCTGTATTTGTCACAATGCAGACAAATACTGTTGAAGGAATATGTGAAAAATACACATCTTTATACTCATATATGATGTTTGTTAAAGGAACCTGACTGAGTTGTGTTCACTTTAGATTGAAAAGCTGAAGCCAGAGCTGCACCCATTTCTGAGTTTACCATCAAGCTATGGCTGACACCAGTGGGGCGGGGCTTGGGAGGGTGCATAATTTTAATGAACTGCTCCCCACGGTTCAGTGCAGATGAAAAACCCGAGATAAGACCACGTATATGTGTAACCCACAAGCTGTTATTCAGTAGCTGTTTTATATTTAGCATCAGTATAATAAGTAAGCCACAGTAAGCTGCTTTCTGGCCACAGGGCCCAGCGACAGACACTGCTTTCGCAGCTCCGCCACCTAGTGTGACTGATTTGCTGAGATCATCTTAAAACAGTGGAAAATTGCCCTGGATTAGGATTGGACGTGCAGTTGTGGTCGGTCGGCTCAGACCCCTGACAGCAGGTTATGTTGAAACACATGTACAGTAATATCCTGTGTGTGCAGAAGCACATTCTTCACACTCCCTCTTTATTGAGTGGCTGCTCTGTGGGACCACATTCCTTCAGTACATTACTCCCTCGGCCGACGCGCTCTCTGCTATGCTGAATATGCACAGGTGGCCGAGAGACCCCTTTCCACAGAGCTCAGAGCGGAGGAGAGGCAGGAAAATCAGCAGGCTTTTTTTCAGCATATGAAACAAATGTTTGGCATTCCTCGGAGCGCTGCTCTGCTGTAGACCTGTCTGTTAACAGACGGCACTACGCCAGGGCTTGTTGGCAACTCATTCAACTTTGGCTTCAATTTTTTTTTTTTAAAGGCAAAAGAAATGTGCACCTCGTCTCTTCCAGTGTTGCTCTTTGAAGGTAATTTGGACATTCGGTGCCAGTCTATTACCTCTCTCATCTGAAACCAATTAATAGTGGAGCTAAAAAAAAAGTTTCAGATGTAATTACGCAGGAATTTTCTCACTTACACATGTGGAATGTGTCCTTATTTTAAGGTCTGCTTTGTAGCACCTACAAATGTCCAGAACAGGCCCAAATATGTCACACATCCTAACAAGTTCAGAGACCACTGCTTCACTGTCTGTCTGCTACACATAAAATATGAGCCACGCATTCTTTGCATGACTAGGTGACCTTGACATGAGTTTGGACAAGGTGAATTTGTTCCTGGTAATGAGCAACACAGATTCCACAGACTGAGAGGTTCTGTGACTGGCTTTACTACTTGTTAAACCAAGACAAAAAAATAGGACATAGGAACACATAGGATTTACACTAAAATTCACACCAGTAACTAATTCAAAATCAAATGCAGTACTTCTCTGTTAATCACAGTCCAAACTCAGGAACAGTAAGACATCTCATGTTCAGACACCAAGAAAAACAGATGACATGGATGCAGGAGTCAAACAATGAACAGACAGTAACCGAGTGAGGGGGAGACACGGGGAGGAAGGCTGAGCCGGAGTGACACTGGGTGAACCCGGCCTTCAGCCCAGCCACAACCCTGACAATGATTAGAAACTGGAGAATATTTTTTTTCCTGCAAATCATACTTTTCTTCAACAGTCTTGTGATAACAATAATAATTAATACTGTTTTAACAAACTGTAGTGAGTGAAACATGAATAAAAAAAGAAAAAAAAAGACCAAAGTACATTTTAGAATTAGCTGCTTAAACTTTAGACCATAACTAGAATAGGTAAATATGTGCCACATGGTATTTCTCCTCTACTAAAATACACTGAACTACACCCCGACAACAAGGCTGTTGATTCAAACTCCACTGTATTTTAGTTAAACTACTGTGATTACTTTAATTCTGCAATGCTAATTGAACAAATTAGGTAAGATCACAATTCCGTGCAATTTCTCAACATCTCATTCAACACTATGGAATTATTTAAAACTACATAATATATAAAGTAAATATTGAAATTAATTTGCCTTGCTGAGTCCACCCTGTAATAGCTCCGCACCCTCCAGGGAGGGACCGCCCCCCACTTTGGGAACCACTGCCCTAAAGTATCCATACAGTAAATGTTTTTCTTCTCCTCTGGTCTGCACACTGTGACCCAGAAACATTGGTCTAATGGTTAAAAAGGAATAAGTGACTGGAGGTAATTCATCAGTAGATCGCAGGCTACCCGGGGGTGTGCCTACACTTACTGGGGTCTATATATTGAGATGTTTTGGCCGGTGGCTTTAAGTAAATGAGAGAGAAGCTGCCCAGGGAAAACTCACCACAGCGCTCCCCCCACACTTTGACAACACCACATGCTCCAGGACGCCACCATGGATTCCTGCTTGCGCGCACTTTGCATGACTTTTGTCCTTGCCTCGTTCACCAGGAGGTCAGGTGCGGTCGAAACTGTCATCAGATGCGAGCCATGTGACGCTGCGGCGCGCCTTTTGTGCAAACCTTTGCCCAAGGACTGCGCCGAGAGAGTCCGAGAACCGGGCTGCGGCTGCTGCATGACGTGCGCCCTCAGCTTCGGTCAGCCGTGCGGCGTGTACACCGGCAGATGCGGCTCGGGACTGAGCTGTCAGCACCAGCCCGGTGAGACCAAACCTCTGCAGGCTCTGCTGGACGGACGGGGCATCTGTGCCAACGCTACAAACAAGAGAATAGCCGTCAGACCGACGCCTCCCGTCAATGAACTGCCAGGTAAGAGTGCGGCCACCGTGCGCCCTGCAGCGCACGTTAATGTGGGAAACTCATCCACATTTGGAACAGACTGTAACATGTGTATCTCTAGTAAAATACACAAATGTGGATATCAACTGTTAGTTTACATCTAATTTTAGCATCTTATGTCTGTCTTTTGTTGTCTGTGGCGTCAGGTAAGATTTAAAAATGATCAGTAAGTAAACATCAGGGTTGAGGGAGGACCTGGACCCTATTTGCATCACAAACAAGATAAGATGATGATTTGACGATCTTCTTATAACCCACAATGTGACCCATAATGTTTTTTTATTATTATTGTTCATATTCTGCTTAATCTTTGCAAAAAATGACCAACTTACTGTTAGTTGTATGTATTGCCAACACAAGGATTAATTTTTTTTAAATTCCAAACTGTGTTGACAGCACATGTTAAAATATCTGAAAACTCATGAACTCGTACAATGGAGTGGGAACGCCCCCTATGTTTAGTCCCTTTCTGTGGAACATTTGTTCGGATTTTTTGGCATCGACCTTTTTAATTGAGCTACAGACCTGGTCAGTATAACATAGTACACTGTACACAGTCAGGTCACAGCTGTACTCAGAGGAGAGTATTTTAAATTGTATGTCTCATAATAAAGCATCGACATGAGGGAAGAGTGGTCGATGCTCTCGCCTTAAGTAATCAGAGATGTACTGCTCCTCATATTTGTGGGTACTACTACAAGGTATTTCCTACATTATTGTTGACCATTGGTTATTATTACAAATCAATATATTCTTGTTTGTGTTGTTTATGTGTTGCACTGACTCAAAGGCGTAGATTTATATAAATCAAATATGTCAGTGGTGCACTCTCATCACATGGACGAGGATGTTACTAATGTCTTTATAGCATCCCCTGTAGGGAAGGCAGGGATGCTACATCCTCTACGTTTATATTTCTGCACATTGTTCCATTAACACATGAAAACATGTTTTTGTTTTTGTTTTGTTTTTTATTAAACTTCAGCCGAGATCCAGGAAACTCAGGAGGACGATCGTAATTCCACTGATTCAGGCCTTCAGAGATTTTACAGCACCCACAGAGCTGCGGCACCCCTCAGACCCCTGCTTCCTCCTTACATGACGTCTGCCAAGTCTGAAGCTGTGAGACAGGAGCAGCAGAAGCGAGCCCAGAGATTCAAAATGGAGGCACTGCCTGGACCACTTATCACAGACCAACAAAACTTCTCTCTAGAGGAGCCTGAGTATGTAAGTACCACAACCAATATTTTTCTGTCTTCAGAATACACTGGAGGAATGTTTTTCTCCTCTTCCTCTGTGTTTTGTTGTTTTTCTCCCTTTTGCGGCTGGAGAAATGTTTTGGGTAGCGGTGCGGACTTTTGGCAAGCACCACAGGCAGTAGAATGGCATGGCAGCGAGCGGGTATGATGGCCCTGCGGCTGACCTAGGTCAGGCGGTTGTTTGGCCACAAGGCGTCCGCGTGCCGGGTGTACTGAGAGCCAGCAAATGATGGATTGGCCTATGTGAGTGCCTGTTGGGAAGCTCTGCTTCTATTTTGATCTTCTCTTTGGACAGAGAAGTGAGCACACGCTAGTAATGGGCTTTGACCAGCTGCTCTGATTAGTGACTGAAGTAGTTGGACTTTTGGCTCTCTCCTTTAGCTCCTTCAATTCACTCTACCGCTCATCTTCTGTATAAAACGCAGGAGCTCTGAGCAGCTGTGGCAAACTGTTAGACTCGTTCACTGATTCCTTTCTTTTAACCAAACAAGTCTTCAGGTACCAGGGGTACAACGTAATAACTTTGATCTGTGTTCCCTCATCTGCAGGGTCCCTGTCGGAGGGAGATCGAAAGCATTTTCAGCAGCCTGAAGATCACAGACATCCTCAGTCCCAGAGGTTTCCGCATTCCAAACTGTGACAAGAAGGGCTTCTATAAGAAAAAGCAGGTAAAACGGCAAAGACACAGGTTTACGGGAAAACGTGAGGGAAATGATTGAAAACAACATTCATCTGCTGCTGCTGTTTTCACAAAACAAGCTGAAGCCGAGTGACTCACATTTTAGGTCTTCTGCAGCCCAATTACAGATTTGTAGCTATCCGTCTGTGTTCATTGGTAGCTATTAGAGCCTCATCACTGCACCACCACACCAATGAGGTAGACCCTAGCCACTGACTCTGGAGACAGCAACCACAGGGGCCAAACCCCAGTGGGGTTGACGGCTGGGACGATGGCCGTCTAACGGGAACCCTCCCAGGGAGACAGACGTCAAGGTGGCCACCGGCACCCGATGCGCTCGCCCCATAATTGCTGGACTTTTGAGAAGCAGGCACAGAAATAGAGCTGCAGCCATCCCCGCACTCACATGGTTCACCCACGATTGGGTTGTAATAAATGGGCGGTTCTGACGCATTCATATGGAGACACTTAGGGCTCCCACGCCACTGCATCACTGAGGCAGTTTTTCTTATTACACAGCAGTCCCTCCTGCTTAATGGAAGTGTTCTCTTTGACCTGCAATCATCTCATAACCAACCTCACAACCGCGGCTCATTGTCTTTGTTTACATTGACTGGACCTAGCGTACCTTAGCTGAGCCTTTAGGCACCGTAGGACTGCTGTCAAACGGTTGAAGTTTGATTCAAAGCAGAAACGCTGTGGCTTATTACAGCTGCGAGTGACAGAAAATGTCTCTTTGGAAAACAAACACAAACAAGAGCAGATTTTTACTGCTTCAGTAAATCTTACTGATATGACACTGGTTTTCCTGGTGAAATAATAACAACCTTGTTCCTTTTGATGTCTGTTTTGCCCTTTTACTGAAAAAAAAAGCAACATTTGGAAAAATCAACTCAGACGAGACTCTTCATTAACCCCTGGTGATATATTGAGCTAAACAAGGACGTCTTCCCCTCTGGATTAGCTCTAACTCCTCAGTGGAGCAGCAGCACAGTTGCTTCAGCCCTTGAAATGAATGGCTACATGTTTTACTAGAGTGGAGGTTGACCTTTAGTAAAATTGGCAGTAAAATAACAGCCCTCGGGTAGCTCCACAGACTCTGTAAGTCATTTGTAGTACCCATAATTTGGAGCTGTGGGGTATAATCAGCAACAGATGATTCGTACTGGCCACCGGCTCCTGAAAATAGATCTTGGTTCTCAGTTGTTCACAAACGGGACTAAGCAAATATTTTACCAGGTTTCTGTTTACCTTAAAGGTCTGTCTATATGCGTGTGTAACAGGAGGCAGACCAAGAAGGCAGCTCAAAATACTACGGTGTGTGGATAGCCAAGGCTGCGTGGAATCAGTACAATCTGACCATTAATGCACCTTAACTGTTTCTGTTCCACTTCATTGGACAAAGTGGCCTGTTAGCCATAATGTAGTACATTTAACTGCAGTCATGCGTTGGGCGAATTTCCCTTTTCTGCTTCTCTTTCCTCCTTTCACCTTGTACTTTGGTTCTCTTTCAGTGCCGTCCGTCCAAAGGCCAAAAGCGTGGCTTCTGCTGGTGTGTGGACAAATATGGACAGCCTCTGCCAGGTTTTGATGGGAAGGAGCGCGGAGACACCCAGCACTATAACTCCGGGAGCCAATAGGAGCGGAAGAGGACGGCGGGAGGGAAGGTGGGAGTGAGAGCAGGAGGAATAGTAAACAAACGGACACATTGAGGATGTTGGGAGATGGGTCGAGAGATGGCTGCACCACATGTGGATGTTTGCTATTTCTATCTGTTGCCAGTGGGACCTTTTTTCTGAGGCAGCACAAGGGAACACAGGAAGAAAGCCGGGAGTTAAACGTGCTGTAGAAAGTGTGTCTTCCGCTGGGACACGTGGACACTTGATAAGCTCTTTGACTCTGTCCAGAACTTGGGCGTCTGAGAGGACAACAATGTCTCTCTGAGGCCCTGGCTATAAGACAAAAAAAAAGACATTTGTACTTGGTACAGCAGACAATGAGGGTGCTCTATATTTGTGCACAATTGCTGCACATGCACAATTTTGAGATGTGTAATTCTGATTTGTATGCTTGTGATTTTTTAAAAATCCATTCTCGACGGCCATTTAATCCATAAATCCACATCTGGCCTCATAAGTGTACAGTGCCTTATTTTTTTTATTTTTTATACCATGAATTCAGTTGACTATGAATTCCAATATTCTGCAGACACTTCCTGCTTCTCGGGGAGTTGGATTGCACTAAAGCTTAAAAATTAAAATTTATATTAGAATTTTAAGCTTAAAACCAAGCTCAGAAATAAATGTATTCTGTTAACTGTAAAAAAAAGTATATATGTTTTTATTGTCATATTGCATAAGCTAATTTCCCTCTACTTTATCTGAGGGGAGCGTTAAAAGGCTAGAAAACTGTTATTTCTGATCTTTCTGTAGGTAGCTGTCTGTAAGTTTAGGCAAATATGTTGTATGTATGTTCAATGCATCACTCAAAGTTTTATTTTTCCTTAATAAATGCAGTAGAAACATCACAAGTTTTGCTTTTTTTGTTGCCAAGTCAGAGTGAAAGGAAAATATATATAAAAATGTTGTTATTCTTATGAAAATTTTCATTTTGTTTTGCACTTAAACCTCCATGTCAACAAAGACTCACTTATAGTTTGGGCAGATGGAAACGTATGCAAGTTTGTGTATATCTCTGTAAACGCTTTTTGATTAAAACTTTGGATCTTTTTTTTTTTTTCATTGCACCATCCCCTTTCCCCATTCTTGTCAAATATTTCTAGTGGCAGCATTAGTAAATATCTCTCTTCACTGCCTAAAGTGCCAAAGATAATGCACATTCATCAGCTTCCTCCTGATTCCCTGACTCTACAGCCAGAATCAGAATCTGACAAATAAAAACTATTGCACAAATTATTGTAAATGCTTCAACATGACACCTGGAGAAATGTAACTAAGTGACCAGGCAGCAACCTTTTCACAAATGTGGTGCGTGTCTCACCACACAACACAAAAATCCTCACCCAAACATGAAGAAGAAACTGCATTAGTTTTTAGTAATCACTAAAAGACAAGGGGTATTGAGTTTGTTGACTGTGCACTAATAAAAAACGTTAGCGATCCAACGCGGCGGTAATTTCAGAGAAGACCTGATATAAACCAAAAGACTCATCATGGGCGCCAATGAATGCATACTTTCAGGTGAGAGTACACTCATAAAGAGAGGAGTAAAAAGTTATTTGCCTTTTTTGGCAACGGTAATTTAATATAAAAGCCTAAAACGTAAACAGTACTGCAGAAAATAAGGCTTTTATGCATTGTTTTAATGAAAAGAAAAATGGAATAGCAGCATTCCTGGCAAAGGACACTCACAAAGTACTTTGTCCAAAACCTCAAAAAAAAAAAAAAAAAACCCCAAAAGAATCATAATAAATACTGAAATATGTTTAAATACATGAAACAGTGACATCAATGAAAAAGGTGAAGAATTTCCAGCTCTAAAGCTAGAACCAGCGCGACATTCGCTAAACCTGTGGACCTGCAGAGACTAGTCGAGGTAGACAAATGCAGAAGAACCGATCCCAAACCTCACAGTGGCTTGGATCAACCCTGATATGTTTGTGCTTGACCACTGTGCACATACTTGTGGCACTTTAAGTATCTCCCCCAATGCCCATTGAGGAAACGCCAGCGGAGATACATTCAGACAATGTCAACATCTTGAATGAATGAGTGGCTCTATGGTTCCATGCCATGCACCGCTCTCGTTTTGAATGAATGAAAATAAAAAACTGCATCCTGAAGACTCTGAACTGGGTTTGGCAGGACTGTGGACCAGTGGTTTTTTAGCAATGGAGTTATTCAGACAGAAACACAAATGTATACAGTGTTGCCCTATTTACAATCTCAAAAAAAAAAAAACAAGTAAACACATAAAAATCTAAAAACGACAAATGGTTAATATTAGAGGGAATATACACGTGGTGAATAAATAAAAGGCCGAGTGCATACGTAATGAAAACAAAATGAATACATGTGTTTTTGGACGCAGATGTTCTCACAGTGTGTCGGTTTCCTGTCTGTCCTTTCAGTGTGTGACTTCCTGGTGACACTCGGAATCACCGAGCAGGTCGCTCGATCCTGGGATCTGCCTACCGTTCCAGGAGGAGACGCACCAGCAGCGAGCGGGTGGTCCAACCAGAGAGGACTCACACTGTAGGGGAACCAAAAGGTGGGAAACCACATGAGTAAATCAAAGCTGCTGCCTTTGGAAATATCTCTTTTAACAGGTGTACCAAGATTCCCACCTGTTTGGCCTTGTAGTAGCCATGTTTGTCACAGTTTGGGAGGTAGAACGTTGTGAAATTCTCTCCAAGTTGTTGCTGGGAGCTGGCTATCACCTCCAGAGCTGAGTGCAGTTCAACATGACAGGGTCCCTGTGAGGAACAAGACAAGACACTGGCAACATTAGAGGAGAAAATCCTCAAAATGAAAGCTCTTCCTCCTTCAGGATAGAAGATATTTTTCAGAAAACCACTTCTGTGATTCCATGTTTTCCAACTCGCCTGTTGTATCAAACTATTGCGGATGGCGTTGGCCTTGACCTTGATGTTCTCGTAGGCCCCTGCGTTCTCTTGATGATCAAAAGGACGGTTGAATCCCAGCACGAACTGCATGGAGTCATGGTCAGGAACTCCTTCTTCTTCTTCTATAGAAAGGTGTTTGGAAAAAAGACAAGAATGTTTTAAAATCACATTATTTCTTCCTATGAAAAGACATCTTAAATTAAAATTCTATGGAAAAAGTCAGGCAAAGCTTAAGTAAGAGTCAAAATCTGCGTTTAAATTCTTCTCTTTCAGATTCCTTCCTCCGGAAGTATTTGAAGGAAAATGTTCAAATTTCACAGTCACAATGAGCCTCAGAATGGAATTTGAATTCAAAGTTATTTAAAAAAAGACTAAATTATGACTTCATTCTTTTTCAGACTCTGTAAACAGTCGGTCAATGTAATCAATGTTTGGCCTTTCACTGCTTGAACTTTTTGTTCAATATTTTTCTGAACATTCCAAAGTCTGAATGCTGATATTGACGTACATTTTCCAATTTCCAAAAAGTTTCTCAGTTTCCAAGAATAAAGTACAAATTCTTCTTCGCCTTTCTTAGAAGAACAAGATCTGGCTCTTGTTATTTTCCATGTGGTGGAGTAGACGTTGAACCTCATGTCTAAGATTCCCCGTCTTCACACTGACAACCGTGGCACATAAATACTGTATGAGTGAACTGTGGAAAAGGTTAGAGTACCTTGGCCCAGATTTTCAGTGCAGACCCCCTGTCCCCTGGTGAGAGCGTAAAGAGGTCTGGCCTCACCAGGCCTGGGAGAACAACGGAGACCTTCAGCGCAGCTGGCCGTGTGAACTCCACAAGACGCTCCTTTCTCCAGAGCGCAGGCCATACAGCAGCCGCAGCCTGGCTCCCTGAGCACTTGTTTGCAGTCTGCTGGGATGGCAGGACACTCGTTCACTTTCTCCTGCGTGCAGGGGGCGCAGCGGATCGGCCCCACGAACGGGGAACACCTCACGACGGCCACGCCAGCCAAGGACACTACTGCCAAAAATGTCAGCTGCTCATACAATCCAGGCATCTCTCCTTGTTAATGTTCTTCCTTGTGGAGTTTTTCTTCTGTAAACTCTGGCTCTGGCTCCACTTTCCATGTCTTTCCCTCTGTTCCAGCAGCATATATAAGGACAATGTGGCCTCCGGAGTAGTAAATGATTGACAGCCAGCGCAGATATTAAATATTTTTTAACAGAGCTGCTGTCATTGGTGGATGACCCCATGGCGTAGCTACAGGTTCACGAGGTCTTTGAAGTCAATATTGACTTTGGAAGGAAAAAAAAGGGACTGAACATCAAAACAAGCCTGTTTTGTTTCTTCGCAAGAGCAAATGACGCATCTCTGTTTTTACACTTTGAAGTTATATGACGTGGAGTGAGTTTCACAAAATAAGGCCGCTCTTAATAAGCAGCGTCCTCTCGACTACAGGTGGATCAGACGCGGAGACGGCCAAAAGCCGAGCTGTGATTTCAAACAACAATCGTTTGTGGCTGTGATTACTGAAATTGTGTTTTGACACTAAAACCCTATTTGTCCTCCTCGTCCCTCTGCTGAAGGCGGCTCTTATCAGGCAGACAGATAAACAAGGTCCTTTGCCTCCAACATTGCATAAGCCTGACATTATAGATCGCTCTGCTAGAATCACAACATGTTTGTCCAAAGAAAGGCAGTAGTAAACGGCCGGTTTCTTTCTCTGCGTGTAGTATTTGTCACAACTGTTTATAGTCAGTGCCGGGTACAGCATGTGTTTAACACCTTTACACATAAGAACAACATGAAGGTCCAGTTTATACATTAGTCTTTTCTCTGCTTTTGAACAAACAACCTCCTGGTTTTTCCCTTGTTGACACCTCACTACTTATTAATGTTATTTACTGTAATTATTAGTTAAATAATTTGTAAATAAGTTTGTCAGTATAGGGTATGTATAAAAGGCCACACGGTGGCAGTAGTGGTTATTACTACATAGATGGGCAGTCACTGTTAACATCACTTTAGTTTTTATTTTCATAATAATATAAATACATTACATTAAAACACCACTTTAATGCACCGGGTCATCGAGTTTGTATTTTTTAAAATTGCACAACAGAAAATAAAATCAGCTTCTCTGATGTCAAACACTAATGTTGACCTACTGTCTCTGATACGCGGCCGAGCCAAGTTTTGGTTTTTGTGTGGGAGGTTTGATCCAGACTCTGCGTTCACCAACAAGGTCACCGCTTGATGTAACCGACAACCCCACGGTCAGAGTGTTGACTTTTGTGCCGGTGTGTGTTGCTCAATCACTAGCTCGTGTGTTGTTGCCTCTTCGATGTTGACCATCAGTGCCACCACCCACGGAGGAAAAAGGTCCTCCTTCAAAATATTTTTTGGAAATGTTTTTAGAGAAAAAAAACCCTCAAAGTTACTGAGATTAACTTTCAAGGTTGCATTATTTTTTGTCATTTAATAAAAATTAAAGGCAGGTTTCGAGGAGTTGTTTGTTGCTGTTTGTTTAAGCTTCTTAGGGCTGGGAATTTTCTTGAACATATTTTTTTTTATGAGTCAATTTTGACACCTTTTTAATAAACATGTAAACATGTATCATGTAAAAATATAAACCTACCTGATCTGTGGGCTGCATCTCACTGTCTAATGAAGTATAAACTTATCTTTATTTGTCATTGTGACACAGCACAGCACAGCACAGCACAGCACACCATGCACAACGAAATTTAACCTCTGCATTTAACCCATCACCAAAGTGAACAGCGGGCAGCCGTGGTCAGCGCCCAGGGAGCAGTGCTTGAGGACGATGCCATGCTCAGTGCATCCCAGTGGTAACCTGGCAGTTGGTGGATTCGAACCTGGGGCCTTCCGGACCGAAGGCCCCTTCCTTTCCCACTAGGCCACCACTGCCACTGTGGTCTGTAATTTGGTCTGTTTAGCTGTTTGAGAAAAGCGCTCTTAGTTGCGAGTCCTGGAACTCTTAATACATACCTCTTTCACATACTCCTTCTCACCATCATCATCTTCTCCTCTCGTCAGGCCTTCTCCAGTTTCGTCTGTTAGCTCCGATTCCTCTTGGATGGTTTCCAGAGGAACACTGCGTACCAACTTTCATGTTGTTGTTTTTTTAAAACAAAAATACAAACAGATTTTAGAGTTTATACCAGCAACTCATTTTGGGCTAAAAAGTGCAAACACAAGGTAATGGAAACTTACAAGTTTCTGTCGAAGGCCCATTTTTGTTTGAGCTTCAACCTGCTGCTGCTGTTCCTGCACTGACTCTCGTTGCTGATGATCAGCATCAGGTGTGTAACACTCACACTAGCCAATGAGTTCATCATGACTTAGAAATAAAACAAGGCTGGAGGCTGACAGAATGTGGATATATAGGAGTAGATATAACTTTCTCATGATAAATGTGAAGTAGTTTTAAAGTTTTTTTTGTTTTCCAGTTTATTTTTGATGAGTGATTGTATGTCTTTATGGGAAAATATAATTATAATTTTTATAGAAATGAGTGATTGTATGTCTTTATGGGAAATATAATTTTTATAGAATTTAGTGTAATGCAGTAAATTAAATTGAAACAAAATTGTATTGTCCTGACATGGGGGGGGGGGGGGGACATCACTTAAATCTGTATTGTTTGAGTTGTGGGATTTGACTGTGATGGTGATGACAACAACAGCTGTGGTCTCTGTTAAGTAGCAGCTTCCTTTCAGTAGTATATACCACTGCCATTAAAAAAACTGTAAAAATAATATAAAGTAATCTTGACATAATGTTTCTTTGCTTGTTAAAACGTGCTCGTAAACACACAGGAGGCAGTGGTGCAAGTGGGGAAAATGATAACAGGGTAAAACAGGCATTAAAAAAAAGGCAGAGCCAAGATGATTTTTTTGGTTGTTGGCACAACTGTACACAAATGGGCAGGGGATGTTTTATACATCAATATCGCCTTTATTACAAAATATTCAATAACCCAACTTTACACTGTACAAGATACAACAAAGTTTACAGCTTTTTGGCTATGTACAAAAAAAGTGTCATCTGCATATCAAAATGAATCATATCTAAAAAGGCAGTTTGCAGTCACATAAGTAAGCTTATCCAGTAAGGCAAAGGACATGAAACATGATATATTTATACCTTGCAGATCCAGTTAAAGTAGTACGTGCTGATAAAGGGTACTGTGTATCTGAAGCAACTCACATTTCTTAGCTTCTATCTGAAAGAACCAAGCTGTGGAGAACTCAGGACGCAGATTGAGCGTAGCAAAACTATGCAGAGGTGTAGTGACGGGTGCCAGAAGTATGACAGCAGCCAGATGCTGCGGCGAAAATATATGTGTGTACTGTACATAAAGTCTTTTCAGAGGTCATAGGAAGAAGAGTAAAGACTCGTGGAGGTGCTTTCTTCAGTGTTGATACATTTATTACTGGTGTGGTTTAGCTGTTTGGTTTATTATCGACTCACTATTCATTTCAATTCTCCTTTCCACGAAACAAGCAGCATCACCAAAAATATTGTCAATTTAGCCAAACAAAGAAATAGGGCTGTTGTAATGAACGTATTAATCATGTTCATATTACTGTTATCTCTGCTTTAATACTTAGTTGATACAAGTTTTGTTATTTACACACAATTAGAGAAATGCTTTTCATTTCACCAAAGCACCTCAAGCATTAAATACCGCCTTGACTCCCTGTATCTGTTTGTTGAAGCTTCAACTTCAGGTCAGTTAGTATGTCAACAGACGACACACTGACCGATACAATTGTCAAATGGACCGTGTCCAACTGTAGACTGATTAATGTTGTTGAGGGACGACGGCTCTGACACACGTTCTTCGGTTAATGACTAAAATCCACCGACTCTTTGAAGCGACATTTTGAATTATACTTTTGTATATGTTTTCGTCACATTTGTCACATTAATAATACCATCATTTGGATTAGTCACAAATAAGAACAAGTGCAGAAAAAAAACTGCTTTTAGTTGTTGGTCTAACTGCACCAACAACAGTCAGCCTGCAGTCGCGAAAAAACAATCCATCTTTAAAAGCAGCAGGACACGAACGATGGCATTTAAAGGAGTGGAAAAAAAACAAAACAAAAACAAATATGTTAAACGTGCCACAAAATTCCCCCCTACACACAAAGCAGGTGGTAAAAACCTTACAATAATGTTGGAAAGGTCAATACTTTGGTTTTCTTTGTACAGGACTTCCCTTATGGCTGTGAAATCTTTATAAAAGTATTAAACGTTTATTACAAGTTAACGGGTTGATTCGCTGAAAACTGAGTTGTTAAAGTATTTTGTGCTGTTTTTGTTATCATTTAAATGTAACCATAAAGTAACCATGCATATGAACATACTCACGACACATGCATGCTTAATAACACCGAAAAGAACCGACGGTGTTTGACCTTACTTTTTAAAAAATGCAGTATATCCGTGGCATAATCAGAAAGACAGTGCAAAAGCAGTAGCATGATTGTTCTTCAATGCACGTATGAAGGTTGTAGTTTTAAGTAGAGATGGACATGATACCATGATCTTATCTTAGATACTACTCCCAGACCAATACACAGCAAATTGAAACAAAGATGTTAAAAAAAAAGTTAAAATGCAGTTGATTTTCCCTTTCAACCCACTTTTGTTTCGCAAAAGTGGCGAGCGTGTGAAAATCCCTAAGAATCTGTGATGTTTGTCTGCATCACCAGATTGTTTCCTTCAACCCTTATGTCCTGAAGGAGCTTTTTCTGGGCTTTGCCAGCAGCTCTGGTTTTAAAGGAAATACCCGGACAGCCCAGTCTTGTCTAGGCTCCCTGCCAGGATTTTCTTTCCCTTTCTCTTATCTAAGTTTATCATCCCATCTTTTTTTTTCCTTTCCTACACCGCTACATCTGCAGCAGCTCCTACTGCCTCAATCTCAATCTCTGCCACTGCTCTGTCCTCCTCCTCCTCCTCCTCCTCGATCTCCTCACCCACTGCGGGCACGCAGGAGGAAGGCAAGCATGTTACTTGGCTGTTGCTGCTGTTGGCAACGCTGGTGTGTGTGGTCAGGCTGGCGGCAGGAGAGACGCTGCCCAGATTGGCCGGGACACTCGTCTTCCCACAGGAGTGGATGCGTCGCGCCAAGCTGGCAGAACGCACCACCGAAGAAGTGGTTGCAGTGCCCACACCCTGAACCTTCCCCTCCAGGAAGTAGGTCAGCATCTCACCTTTCCCTTTCACGCTGACTTTGCCTCGGCAAACCAGGTCGTAGTTGGTGTTCAGCAGACGGTAAACCTCTTCTGTCACCTGTAATGAAAATGAAGTACATATATACAAATATATATGTATTCAATAAGAAGGTTAGGTTTACTCTCTGCCCTCTGCCTCACGCCTTTCGCACATACATATAGAGAAGTACTATGTTTTTTCTCTTTAGGAAAGGAGGTCGCTTAGTGTGACATTTATTGTACTATTATCAGAATTAAATGGGTCTTAATGGGAATTTCAGGACCCACTTTTAAAATATTCAACTATTTCTTTCCACCAAAGACATTACGTTATTGATGTGTAGTTTCCACGGAATTATATCAAAACAAAATGTTGAAAAAAAAAAGATAATTATATATATATATATATTTTATTTTATTGATACCAGTTCACCTACTCATTAGTCAAGGACTGGTGGTAGAACACTGGTTGGCGTTGTTGCCCTCCAGAAAGAAGGTCGAGGGTTTTTAGCATTGGCCTGAACAGACGGCTGTTCGGTTTGGCTCGCCTTCCTTTCCTGCGTTTAGTTGAGGAAGTCTGATTTCCTTGTTTTTGCAAAATCATACTCACTGGTAATTTAGGTTTGTTGTTTGATGGCACTGAGGACTTGTTCCAGCTCCCTGTGACTCTTGACACACATTTAAAAGCCACTTAAAAACACAAGCTCCTGCCCACACGTCTGAGAAATATGTTATATTTCGGTAAAATAGTTTGTGATTACTTGATGTGAAGACATGAGGAATTGAAAGGAGCAGGAAACCAGTGATTTAAACTCAAACAAATTCCATATATCCCACAATTAAGTTTGTTGGGACTGTGACTACCTGGGGAAAACCCAGACACATACTGTAAGTGATATTCTATGACACCATGTGAATTTTTTTTTACATACTTGTATCTTTCCCTGAAGTCCAGTGCTGTCCATCCGACTGGCCACGTTCACCGTGTTGCCCCAGATGTCATACTGAGGTCGTCTTGCCCCGATCACGCCAGCGACCACAGGGCCCACATTGATACCTGTGCAAATACGCATTAGACAAATACGTACGATGTTAAATCAGGTCAGTATCACAGACCGTGACTCCAGATGTCATTCGGGTTTCTCACATACCCACTCTCAGAACAAACTCGTTGTATGACTGGTAGTTGATTTCGTCCAGAACGTCAAACATCTCGATGGCGTAGTCTGCAATGGTGCTGAGATGTTCGTAAACGGATTTTTTGGCCTAAATGTAATGGTAGAATATTAGACATTAGGACGTTGTTCGATAATAAGACGATAGTAAGACACTACCTTGGTGCCCACGGTGGGGACCAGGCCCACAGCTGCCATGTATGTGCTGCCGATGGTTTTGATTTTCTCTATGTCTTTGTAGCACTCCTTGTCCATCAACTGCAAAACAAACGTTCAAATATAGATGCTGAGTCATTTTCAAAAAAGCAAAATAAGGTTTAAAGTGTAGTTTGCTAATTTAGGGACTGAATGGACTTCTAGCACTTATTGGAGCCAATCCCAGCAGTCGTCAAGTCAGGGTGACCCTGGACAGGTCACCAGTCCATGGGAACACGCAGACAGGTGGTTATTACTTGGGATTAAGCAGGTGGTCTTGCGCTAATGCAAGTGCACCAACCTCTCCTGTGCGATGTGGACATGTAGAAATGTAATATTTTAATAATTAAGACCTTCTTTAACAGGAAAAAATGAGTTTTTTATTTATATAATTAGAGTATTCAGATTCAGAAAGAAATATTTTGCCTTTCAAGAGCACTACCAAACTGCAGACTTATTTTATGTGCATTTATAGAAACTAGAAATCCAAGAATTGTTCATTACCTCATCAAAGTCAGCTATAATCTCATTCAGGAGCCTGAGACATTCCACTCCCATGTTGTTCCCGTCCAACTCGATGTAGAAGTCGTTAAAATTAGGAATGGAGGCGAACAGGACGCCTACCTGTGCGTAGGACTGGTAGTACAGATCCTGGAAGAGAAAATAAATGGGTCCGGCAGCGTTAACGACATCTCCAGCTGCTCCGTGAGACTCCACATTTCACCATTATCTACCTGTGTCTCTGTCTGTCTGCCTGCCTGTCTATTAGCAAGGCTCACCATGTTCCTGGGGTTGGACAGCAGGAAATGTTGAGCCACGTGTGCAGGGAGGAGGTTGAAGAGAATCCTCCTGTTGTCCAGCTTCACCTTCTCCATGCCGTCTCGCTCTTCCTCTGCCTGACAACACAACGTCACCAAGCGTTGACTGAACGTCTTTGTCAACATTTATTCCCTTTGCATTTGTCAAACACGGAATATGTTTAAATGTTATCATATAAATATTAGCCTACTTTACTGTCATTCATTTTCTTCTTATTTCATTCTCTAGTCTTTGTTTTATTTATTTTTTATCTGCTGTTTTAGCAGAAATTACATTAAAATTACATTTCAAGGATTAATAAAGTCTTATATTTTTATATTAACTACAAATACAAAGCGTGTTTGATGTTTTATCCACTAGGAGTCAGTAAAACACCTAATGATCCCATATAGTGCACCGGTAATAGCTGGACAAGGCAATCACTTGTTCGACTTAGATAACTAATGTTGCTTTGTTTAAGGTTAGACACCTCAAGATCCTGCTTTTGCTTTAACACTTCACTCCCACTATGTAAAACAGTCATTTTTTGACACTTCTAATGCCAAATGAAACCCAGCAAAAACAAGCTTCCCGGTTCTGTTTTTGCCAAAGAACAGCCAGCTGGCAGCCTATAAATACCAATCCTTCCCACATCACCCAATTGTTTACGTAAATGAAACCCTAATGGCAGCACACCTACGGAAGACTTACATTAAAATGCACGTTATCATAATAAAGTGATCTCAACCACTCTTAACACACACACACACAAGCGAGTTTCCTGACCTGCACGGCCCATAGGAAGTCCAGGCGTAGTTTGAGGTCAAGTTGTCTAGAGTGGAGGGCCAGGGCACTGACAAAGAGCAACAGAGACAGGATGGGCTCGTAGCCCCAGATGTGGAAGGACCCCCCACTGAGGAAGAAACCAACACACAAGTCAGCATCAGAGCGGACCACACAGAGAGCTGAAAGGGCAGGTTCAACAGACCACCCTCGCTTCCAGGAGAGATCAGTTTAAATGTTAAAACATGAAAAATTGAATTATTAACATGTGACACCGAACAGGATTCACTCTTGTCAAATCCTAATCACTGAGCCTCAGGTTACTGTGAATAAAATGAATCTTTGAATTGAACATAAAACCGTCATCGTCATTGTTAATGAGTTGATGCTAACAAAGCAGGAGAGGGATAAAAAAAAACCAAAATTCTATTTAACACATGCTTACTGTGACCAATGTTTTCATTTCTAAATTTTCTACATTTCCTGTACATATAATCTTATTACCTTTGAATCTGCTGTTCTTATTTTTATTTCTCTGCGCACATTCCATCTCTGCCAATTCCCTCATCCCAGACGTTGTTCTAATCCTGGTCTTAAAATATTTTCAATTGGAGAAAGTTGGTATGTACAGTAACCCATAGAACACTGCCCCCACTGTGAACCATGTGGGAACGTAAATATGTGTGGAAAATTGAACAGTGTCTCGGGAACAGGGAATTAGCCAGAAAGCTAATTTTGAGACAAAATTGACTTTAAAGCAGCAGGACTTAATCACCGCTTTTTTCCAACAGGACCCAAAGAATAATGATGAACTGGATGATTTGACGAGTCGGCACAATTACATGATTATATTATAGTCCAGATGAAAACAGAAATATATGGAGGAGTTTGAGGAAGTTGCCAAAGAAGAATAAACCGACGAGACTCATAGGCCCGATTTGGAGAACTCTAGACTGCAACAACTGAACCAATAACAATGAAACAGTACCACTAATATGAAACATGTAACCCTCTCATCAGGCTGCGTTGTCTTCTTTTGATTCAGAACCAATGACCACATGTGCAGCTGGTACCAATAATGAACTAAAATAGTAAGTGTTTTGAACGCATGGTCGTGTTGAAGTGTGACTCCCACCCTGCTGTCCTGCGAAAGCCGCTGAGCTCCAACACCGTGACATAGAGCACACCAAGAAGGAGCATTAGCGCCATCTTTGGCAGCCAGGAGACACGCAGGAAGAGCGCCAGGGTGAGTGTCCCCACAACACAGCACAGGAAGGCATAGCGGACGCTTTCGCAGGGAAGCTCCGCCATGGTGTGGTTAGCGCCGCTGACGACGTCGATGATGACGATGGAACTGTTAATGTTGGCACTCCCCCAAAGCCAGGGCATGCAGCCCACCTGTGGAACACAAACAGGTGGACAGAGGACATGAGAAGACATAAGATGACAATGGATGAAAAACAGTCTGTGATGTTTGTTGTTTATGGTGTCTGTCAGTGAATACGACAACCTGAAGAGAAGCTGATGGATTCTATCTGGAAATATGTGCCTACATGTACTAGAATTTAATCCTTAGCTGCATTCGGTTGACATTTGTACGTGGATAAGATGCTGTAAAAAGTTTGACAGAGCCTTTGATTTACGAAGAGCGTTGTACAGTTTACAGTTCCATTTGCTGTTGTTACTCACCACACAGGCCTGAGCCACAGCATAGATTAAGAGCACTATGAGAATACAGAGGGCAGTACGAATCTGAATGGTCAGGCACCCTGGAAAACACTGAGACACAACGAGAACATCCATTAATATATCCACCAATCAGCAGCAGTTATGTGTGTGTGTGAGGGGATGTCATAAACAATAGTAATCTTTAATAATTAGTAAAATAAAGTAAAGTAAGAAATAATAATAATTGCAAATGAGTTAAGCGATAAAAACAAAGTCGAGCGGGTGTGTTTTCAAAATAAAATACCACAGCAAGAAAGGTAAAATAAATGTAAAATACAATTCTTGAAGGGAAGTGTGAATAATATGTTAGTATTTTATTTAATAAAACAGACAGAATTGTAAGGTTTACCTGTATTCTAGTGATATGCAGGTACATAATACAGGCTACTAAGAAGCAGAGGCAGAAGACAAGGAGGACTAGAATCACTGTTCCCCTGAGAAGAAAGGAAAAAAGGGAGAAAAGGCGAGATGTGAGTTGTCAGAAAAGTCAGGAATCTGAGTGATTACGTATCAATTACTGACAGGAGAGTGGAAATCGATTAAATGTACGTACTGTGGTATGATAAGAAGATAGACCAAACCAAACAAGGCAGCTAGGATGAGAGAGAGGACCACTGCACTGGTGAAGTACTCATCAGGAATCTGGTGGTACTGTTTGGAGGGATCCAGAGACCAGATTAGAGGACAGAGAAATAGAACCTGACACCAAAGCTTTCAGTCAGAGGCCCGGTCCGAACGGACGTGAGAGTGTCTGAAGCCTCTCACCCTCTGCTCACGCTCAGAGCTTTTATACATGAGTGTGAGGACGTTGAGGTCAGCCGTGTCTGACTCGGTCTGACGGGCTTCGATCAGTCTGCCGATGTAGCGGTTGACCCGTGTGCGGGGGCTGCTCTGGATCACATTGGCCTGGTTGGCGTTGAAGCGATTCCTCAGCTTCTGTGGTGCTGTTCTCATGGCTCTGCGCTGTTTGGGCAGAGAAGTTCATTTCCCCTCAGAGTGTTAGAGAGCAATGTGACAGTTAAACCTATCACTCTGTGTCATCTGCGCTAATGTGGTGCTAGGATGTCAGAAACATGGGCGGAAAAGAGTCAGCCGCAAACATGAACAGCCGGTTATACTTTCAAATCAGAACCTCATCTTTCACATTTCACCTAATTACTCAACGCTCACCCTGCTGGCTCTAAAGGGCTGTAGCAGCTCAAGGAAATCAAAAGATGGTGATATTTGGAAGTCTGTTTATGTATGTACTTTTCTTTCTAAATTTCGAGTTATACATTTTAAGATTTCCTTGATTTTCTTTGATTCTCACAATTTTGGAATCCAGACACGGGCCGGATTGGAAAATTTGGTGAGATGGATTTGGCCTGTCGGCCTCAGGTTGACTCAAGTTACTGATATATTGTATTTTGCACAGCCCATGGTATGGTCTGAATTTAAAATGACTTAATTCATAGGAGGTTATAGAGATGTTAGTTAAAAATAAACAGCATCAAACATTAAAAAAAAAAAAATATATATATACTAAGAAACCCAGGTTGTTGTTTTTTTTTTTCACGGCAAATCTGGATCCCAACAGCTGGTGTAAATATTGTCCAGCTGCCAGGTCACAGGATGTCTATTCAGGTACACAAGGTCAAAGAAGAGCGTTGACATTTAACCAGATTGCCAGTGCTGCTGTAAGGAAAATGGAATGTTGCTCATTGGCCGTGAACTCCACACTCGGGTCATTATGGCTGACAGGATTGTGAACACAACTCACATCTCCTTTCACCTTCCTGTGATATACAGTACACACTGCACACGCCGTCACAGAAGTGCTACATTTACACAGGAGCAGAAGCAAAATCTTGAAGCTCATTTAGAATTATCTTCTTTCCCAGGTGGCTGTCAGCGGATTTACCTTATCTATAATAAAAATAGATCTAATATAACACAAGGCATGGGGGCGGGGGGTAAAAATGAACATGGAAGGATTTCTGCACAAAATGTACTTTTCACAATAAGCTGACAGAGTGAGAGATGTAACACCTACAGCATCTGTCAGACGTAGTGGACTTTTCTTTTGTCATGCAAAGATCTAATCTATGTCTATTAGTGCAAATCAAGATAGGCACTGAGGCAGAGAGGGAAAAAAACAGGTATTTTTTTAAAGATATGTTGAGTTTTTGACAACTCTTGTTTTATGTAACGGTGTTCTGGGAGTTTTTAGGGAGAGATTGTATCTTTAAAATATATGGATGTGGTCCAGTCCAAGGTCAGAAGAGTGTGGCGTTGAGACCACAGCTAAAATACATTTTTACCAAATCCTCACTCATTTTTATGAAGAAGCAGTTAGAGTCTATGTAATTATTCTTAAAAAAAAAAAAAAAGGAATAAAAAGTCGGAGCTGCAACATCACCATTCACTTTGCACTCGTACCTTATCGCCGTCCTCACAGTTCATGACGTTAGAGAAGGGGATCTCAGCCTTGAACATCTTCCTGCAGTGCATGAGCTGCACCAGTAAGTAGCACACCGTTTTAAACTTCATCTTTTTGGCAGGTTTTATATCCGAAAGAATCAACCCTGGGAAGATCTGTCAGAGAAGAAATAGGAACAGGCAGTCAAGTGACAAAATCACACACTATTACACCGTGCATGCTGAATTGTACTGCACAAGGCGCCTCACACAGGTGTGTGCAATTATCATTGTCAGGTATGGGAATCTAACCAAAAAACAATAATATCCTAATTTCTGCAGTCATTTTAACATCTCTATTGCTGTTTTTGGCCGTGTTTTTATTTTATTTTGGGAGGCCTAGCATTAAGCATATGTTGTTAGCGTATGGAAGTATTTACAGAAACATCTGTGTGCCATTCGTCATGACATATTTGTTGGAGCAGTTGTTGAGTGAAAAGAGAAATGGAGTGTGTCCCTAAGCCGAAGTAATTAAAGACACTACAGTGTAGCAGAGCGACTACAGCGGACCATCCTGCACGGCTTAGTGGGAGCGCATCTTACTCTGAGCCACGGCTTTGATGAAGTCCAACCGTCAGCTCTATTAAGAGGATTAGCAAAAGTTCCGCATATCAAAGAAAACTACACGCAAATTCCGAACTCTAGGTTCACGTAAGGATCCGTGCGACCTATGTGCTGTCTTATCTCACATAACATGAGACCGGCTGCACGGAATAATCACACGGAGAGTGGGAGAATGAAATATGCTGTGGCTCCAGAACATGTGTTGGAGATGCACGTGTTGGTAGAAATGCATATATATGGACATAAGCAGCATTTCTATCTCTGGAAGATGGAAAATGCCAACTGTTGATTTTGCTTCTTTTCTTTATCTCTCTGTCACTCTCCCTAAAGTCCTTTATGTTACAGGCGGCATTTTCCAATACACGGCTTACTCTGGTTGACCTGACGCTTTCAGTCAATTTATATGGATTAGCCAATGACTGTACGCTGCCAAAATATCCAAGGGTT